GGTAAAGGTGCGAGCTGCCCTTCAACAGTACTTGTATGTCAGTGTCAGCTTCGCGCTCCCCGCTCAACACAGTGCATTCAACATGTCACAACTCCACGCGCTCTGCATTCCACACTCCACAACACCGTCCCTCCTACACTACGCTCCGCGCCCTGCACTCCTCACTTCCCACTTCACGCTCTACGCTCCACACCTAACACCTCACACTCCCCTCTCCATTTTCCCCGTGCCACGCTCCACACCCACCATGCACTGTACATTCCACTTCACTCTCTACCGCTTTACACTCCCCACTCCACACCCCGCACTCCACACTTTACACTTCACAGTATAGATTTTACAATCCACTCTCTGCTCTGCGACTACATTCCCCACAACGCACTGCACTCCCTGGTTCCCGCCATACTCGGCGCTATATATACGCTCTACTGACACGTAAAACGTCGCAGTGCCACGCCAGCCAACTAACCAGCTTCTATTTGGCATTTGTTGCCATGCCTGCCACGCAAAACTTGCTTGAATCTTGAACGTCAACACTCTACACTTCACTCCTTCCACCCCCCAGTCCACGCTCCATGTTCCACACTCCCCACTGTCTACAGAGTCTACACGCTGTGCAATCCACACTTCACACTTCACGCTCTGCCCTCCTACATGCCACACTCGGCATTTTACCCTTCACACTCCACATGTTATCACGGTGTTGCTATGTGATGTGCATTAGGGTTTGTGGGCTGGACCGAAATTTCAGATAACTCCTTGTTGCTCTGTCATGCAGCTGGGAAGGACGCATGAGCGTGCGTGAAACTTCGCGCAAATGTCGCTGGAACGCCTTGTGGATGTGTCCGCGCATGGCAAAGACAAAAAATTAAACAGTGCAGCTGTTGTGCTCAGGGTTGTTGTTTGGAGATGTGAACAAGTACCATGAGGTGCAGATGAAAAGGATTTTGGAAAATAGTTGAAAGTACTTGAAACCTTTTAAAGGGAAGCGAAAACATTCATGCGTCTTGCTGAGATTGCTATAGGCTGCTGTGAGCCTTGGGTGCATCAGTTCAAGCCGTGTTTCGGATGGGTACCCGAACCCCCTATTTAGTTACCACCACATCGAGAAAATGAACCCTGGCCAGATGGCAGTTTCGAAGCCCACTAGAAACAGGTTGCACCACCTCAGAAGTTCCAGATAGCAGCTTCGAAGCCCACAGAAACAGCTCGTCGTGGGGCCTCGGGACGTCCCATGGCAAAGCTGCTGGGAAAGTTTTGAACGTTGTAAGGCTTTCAAGGGGTGCTGGAAAAGGCCAGATGGCAGTGTCGAAGCCTAATAGAAAGTTGTGGCGCCTCGGAAGGGCCAGATAGCAGCTTCGAAGGCCAACAGAAACAGTTCGAGGGGCCTCGGGAAGTCCCATGGCAAAGCTGCTGGGAGGGTTTTAAGGCTTTTAAGGGGTGCTGGAAACGTGCCAGATGGCAGTTTCGAAGCCCAATAGAAAGAGGTTGTGGCACCTCGGAAGTGCCAGATAGCAGCTTCGAAGCCCAACAGAAACAGTTCGTGGGGCCTGGGGAATCCCATGGCAAAGCTGCTGGGAGGGTGGCAGTTTCGAAGCCCGATAGAAAGTTGTGGCGCCACGGAAGGGCCAGATAGCAGCTTCGAAGGCCAACAGAAACAGTTCGTGGGGCCTCGGGAAGTCCCATGGCAAAGCTGCTGGGAGGGTTTTAAGGCGTTGAAGGTCTGCTGGAAACGTGCCAGATGGCAGTTTCGAAGCCCAATAGAAACAAGTTGTAGCGCCTCGGAAATGCCAGATAGCAGCTTCGAAGCCCAACAGAAACAGCACATGGCGCCTCGCGAGGTCTCACGGCAAAGCTGCTGAGAGGTTTTGCAAGTTTTAAGGCGTTGAAGGGCTGCTGGAAAAGGCCAGATGGCAGTTTCGAAGCCCAATAGAAAGTTGTGGCGCCCTTTGAAGGGCCAGATAGCAGCTTCGAAGGCCAACAGAAACAGTTCGCGGGGCCTCGGGAAGTCCCATGGCAAAGCTGCTGGGAGGGTTTTAAGGCTTTTAAGGGGTGCTGGAAACGTGCCAGATGGCAGTTTCGAAGCCCAATAGAAAGAGGTTGTGGCACCTCGGAAGTGCCAGATAGCAGCTTCGAAGCCCAACAGAAACAGTTCGTGGGGCCTGGGGAATCCCATGGCAAAGCTGCTGGGAGGGTGGCAGTTTCGAACAGATAGCAGCTTCGAAGGCCAACAGAAACAGTTCCTGGGGCCTCGGGAAGTCCCATGGCAAAGCTGCTGGGAGGGTTTTAAGGCTTTTAAGGGGTGCTGGAAACGTGCCAGATGGCAGTTTCGAAGCCCGATAGAAAGTTGTGGCGTTTCGGGAGTGCCAGATAGCAGCTTCGAAGGCCAACAGAAACAGTTCCTGGGGCCTCGGGAAGTCCCATGGCAAAGCTGCTGGGAGGGTTTTAAGGCTTTTAAGGGCTAGTCCCATGGCAAAGCTGCTGGGAGGGCTGTAAGGCTTTTAAGGGGTGCTGGAAACGTGTGTGATGGCAGTTTCGAAGCCTGATAGAAAGTTGTGGCGCTGCTGGGAGGGTTTTAAGGCTTTTAAGGGGTGCTGGAAGCGTGCCAGATGGCAGTTTCGAAGCCCAATAGAAACAAGTTGTAGCGCCTCGGAAATGCCAGATAGCAGCTTCGAAGCCCAACAGAAACAGCTCGTCGTGGGGCCTCGGGACGTCCCATGGCAAAGCTGCTGCGAGTTTTGAACGTTGTAAGGCTTTTAAGGGGTGCTGGAAACGTGCCAGATGGCAGTTTCGAAGCACAATAGAAACAGGTTGTGGCGCCTCGGAAGTGCCAGATAGCAGCTTCGAAGCCCAACAGAAACAGTTCGTAGGGCCTCGGGAAGTCCCAGGGCAAAGCTGTTGGGAGGGTTTTAAGGCTTTTAAGGGGTGCTGGAAACGTGCCAGATGGAAACGGGTTGCGGCGCCTCGGAAGTGCCACAGATAGCAGCTTCGAAGCCCAACAGAAACAGCTCGTGGGGCCTCGGGAAGTCCCATGGCAAAGCTGCTGGGAGGGTTTTAAGGCTTTTAAGGGCTGCTGGAAACGTGCCAGATGGCAGTTTCTAAGCCCAATAGAAACAGGTTGTAGCGCCTCGGAAATGCCAGATAGCAGCTTCGAAGCCCAACAGAAACAGCTCGTCGTGGGGCCTCGGGACGTCCCATGGCAAAGCTGCTGCGAGTTTTGAACGTTGTAAGGCTTTTAAGGGGTGCTGGAAACGTGCCAGATGGCAGTTTCGAAGCACAATAGAAACAGGTTGTGGCGCCTCGGAAGTGCCAGATAGCAGCTTCGAAGCCCAACAGCAACAGTTCGTGTTTCCAAAGGGCTTCGAGAGCTGCAATGGCAAGGCATCGTTTCTGAAGCTTTTGAAGCTTTGAAGGGGCAATGGAAAAGCACAAAGGCAGGCACCGGGGCCATGCTGCACACCTACGGTGATCCCGGGCGCCGCCCCGCCTAGGCCAAAGCTAGGCAGGGGTCGGCGGATATTCAAAATAAAATCTACATAATATATAATATCATTTTATATATAGTACAGTATAATATAATATAATATACTATAATATAATATAATATTTTGTATTTTATGATGTAATTGAATATAAAACATAACATATAATGAAATTTCATATTTAATACCATACAATATTTTATAATACCATACAATATATTTAAATTTGGAATATCAAAAATTGAATATACGACATATAATATTTATGATAATTTAATATATAATATATAATATACAAAATAAAGTAATGTTATAGTATAATATACGATTATAATTTAACATAATAGAATGTGATATAATATTTCTGGAAATATAATGTAATATAATATGATATATATTTTAATATAGTATAATTTAATTTAATTTAATATTGAGTTAATATGATATAATATAATATAATATAATATAGTATAATATAACATAGTATAATATAATATAATATAGTATAATATAATATAATATTATGTAATATAATATAATATAATATTATAAATTTTAATAAAATAACATATAATATAATAATAATATATATATATATATACACATATAATATAATATAATTTAATATAATATAATATAATTTAATATAATATAATATTATATTTAATATAATATATGGTGTATATAGTAGATGGTATATTATATTATTTTAAATCAAAACTATACATATATATATATCAGGGATATTATTGTTTTTTTTTCTGCCGGTTTAACCACCTTAGACAAACTCTGTGTGGCTGAGGAACTGCCAGATTTGCGCATGCGCCGTGCCAACTACCAGCTGGTGAAGGGCAGCAAGCGGCTCGGCTGAACTGCAGTTCGGGCCCCCAAATCTGCCAGAAACATCAAATATCATCAAACATTACCAATGATACCCTCTGGTAATTTAACGTAGCTATTGAAAATGGCCATTAATAGTGGATTTTCCCATTAAAAATGGTGATTTTCCATAGCTATGTTAAATTACCAGAGGGTAATCAAGGATTATCAATGATTATCAATGTTTTTCACAGATTTTCAATGCTTTTCAATGATTATCAACCATCACTAACCGTGATCAACCATCATCAACCAGGATCAGCAACCATCACCAACCATCCCCGGCCAGGTACGCGCGAGAGGCTGATCGACTCTTTGAAAAAGTCTCAGGTGGCTGATCCGGCGCTCAGCGTGGCGATTTTCTCAGGTCCCGTTTCCGCGACCTGCAAAGACATGCAAAGACCATCAAAGCGTGAGAAAAGTGGGCTGGAAACGTGTGGAAACTGCTCTGAAACACTGAGATGTTGTAAGATGGTCTTTGGGGAACCTGAGACAGCATGGGGAGGGAGACTATTGTGGATTGTTTTTTCCGACACAAAGCATGTGCCAGTAGTGTGTCCTTTCGGTTTCGCTGATGAATTCTGCACCTGTCTGACACCACCAGTCAAGCTTTGCTGCAGACATAGTTTCAAGGCTGGGTCTTCGTTTTCCCAAACACTTGCTTTTTGCGGGGGCACCCACCTCGCTGCCATGCACTCCCGGCTATGCTTGGGGATCTGCTTTGGCTGCACTTTCCACCTTTGGCAGACACACTTGGCCATTGGGGACTCGGTGCACCAGCCTGAAGCGGCTGGAATGACTGAAGCCATGCTCCCGGTGATCCAACGGTCTCAGCCGCCGCGACCACAGGTACCCCGCCGCTTTTCCGCGGACATGCGCTTTGTGTCCTACGACCCAGCCTGGGCCTATTTGCCCATCGGTTTCCCGCCAGCGATCGGCCAGGGAGTCTTCGCGTGCGATGCGGATGCAAAGGCCATGAGTATACGGACTATGCGGCACTTTCCTGGGATGGAGCAATTGGTGACCAACATCACGTATCTGTATCTGGAAAACAGCTCCCACCACATTCTTGGTGGGAGGAATCCAGTGTGCCGGGAGATCCACTTGTCTGGCCAGAAAAGCTATTCCGATCTGTTTTCTTGGGCGGCCAACCCACATCTCTCGGAGTACATAGGACAGAAGGTGGTGGCTGGGAGAGCATGCTCCTTGTGGAACTTGCGCTCAAAGAACCAGTCCAAAATGAGCTTGTGCGCAGCTGGCAACGTTCCAGTTGAGTTGAACATCACCTATCCCAAGAATGACGGTAGCAGCTTCAATGTTTCCTACCAGTTCGGCCCCTTGAGCAGCCAGGTTTCAGAGCATCTACAAAAACCTCATATCTGTGACAGGCTCGCGCCTGGCTGTGAGAATGGCCGCAACCGAGGTCCAGTGTCCTTGGATGCATACATCTTCCATCCAGCAGGAGAGTACAACCTCGAGGACCAGGATGTGGGAGACCTGACAGGTGATGCGCTCTTCATTTGCGTCGATCGGCTTCAAAACAAGTCCTTCATGGATCACAACTACACCCTGATCTCACGCTATGCCCTTGAAATTTCCCCTGCATTTGGACAGTATGCCTTGTGCAACGGCTACCCCCCTACCTGTGTTGGTGGGGATCCACGCTTGGTGGGCCGCAAGACCCCATCGTCGGTGGGGGACGGTGAGAGCAGGTGTGCTGCTGAGAACCCGCTTGGCTTCTGGTTCTCTCTGCCGAAGGGTGGTCGTTGTGAGGGACAAAGGCGGCCTGGAAAAGACGCTTGGGCTACCGGATGCAGCTGGTCAGTGCAGAAGCGCCTGAAAACCATCCACCAGGATTGCTTGTTCAAGCATGATTACCTGAAAATCTGCATGGCAGACGCCCACGAAAGGAAAGGCTTTGCCAGAACTAGCCGCGCCTTAGAAGCTGCGTTTGCATCAGAGGATCCATCCATCGGAGGCTGCGCGGATGTTCAACCAGAGAGCAGTACGGCCGTGGTGGTGTAATACCGGTGGTGTGTGATCCAGGTTGATCCAGTGGTACGGCCTGTGCTGGGCCAATTTCCGCGCAGACGAAAAGAGCGAACTCGCTATGTGGAATGATGACATCCCAATTGACTGGGATATCCCAATTAACCATTATTCACCATTCATTTCCCCTCTGGCCACTTGGGGGATACCCCATTTCGAAGGTTTGGGATAGCCTCTATCTACAGATCTTGATGTTGTTGGGACCCACCATCAGGTCCCCAAGCACCGTTCTGGGACAGATGACGGTGTTCAAGCAAATGGAACTTGAGAGATACATCACATATCATATCATATCAAATCATTTCAAGTCATATCATATCATCACATCATCATATTAGAATCACATCATCACTTTAATCATATCACGTCATACTGATGCTTTCCAACAACAGCATTTGGAAATGAGAACCAGCTTGGGCTGCAGCATCCTGTCCCTGAGTCGGCCTGTTTTGTTTGTCTCAGTTTCAGAGCGTTGAATTCCAAGCGCGGGATGGCCAATTGCAACATCATGACGACACAAATTTCACCTCGTGCATGAGGAGAGACTGTCATTGCCATGGCCTCGCATGGAATATCGCTAAACGATGCCAACAGTTTCCATTGGATTCTATTTTTGGTGCTTTTGGTCCTGCAAAATCTGCAAGATACCCTTCAGATATCATAGATATCTTCAGATATCTTGATCCATGCAGAATTTGCTTCATTGAGTCCACAGAACATCCTTGTAGCATGCAGCATATTTTTGCAGATTTTTGTCCTTTGGAGATTGGATCGTCCAGATGGATGTTGCCATTGACGAGTAGTTCCCTTGGCTACGGCATCCAACTTGTGGTAGAACCGATAGTAAACCTCCCATGGATGTTGCCCCGGTGCTGCAGACGGAGGCTGCCGGCTGGCGACGGGTTTGCTCCGATGAGTGGCTGATGTTTGGTGGGGCAAAACCATCATAGAACATAAAAGATTATAACATAACAGCAACCAATCAATACCTTAACATACCTTAAACATATCCTTCATGATGCAATTTCGAATAAGAATGTTGCATCCACTGTTGCCATGTCATGCTTCATGGGTCCCTTCGAATCCCGATGAATGGCGCTGCAGAAGCAACAGCTGGCCGAGCCCAGGAAGTTTGTTTGGGAAGCCAAGATCTGGTTGGAATTTGCCAAGACAAAAGTTATTTGATGTTAATTGAATAATAATTGAATACGAACAATAGAGACTGGTTGATCTGGTTGGCGGTTTCACTGTTCATGATTTCCCTGCTCATTTGGCAAGCTTAGCTGACTAATGTCTCAAACCAGCAGCCAGAGTGTTCTTCATGTAATGTATCATGGTTACTTCCATGCTTTTCAAGAGGTTCGAGATCTTGGAGTAGCAGAAGAACAGGAGTTTCGGGGTTTCCCTGATCCTGCACAGAGACACCAAGGTTTTGGATGAGGAAGCAAAGGAAGGCATTGCTTACGACGCAACCTCAGCCGAAGATGGACGCGGCGGTCAGTATGGTCATGAAGGTTATGCAGGTTATGCACTTGGTGAATTGGTGAAAACCTGAGTGATCCAATTGCCTTTCAATTGGAAAACTTGAAAACTTGCATTCGCCAGTAGAATTTTTAGGTGATTTTGCTTCAGTGGAAGGTACCCACAAATCTCATGATTGATATTGATGTCATTTGATTTAATTTGGATCCTCATTTTGGCTTCTCAATGGCAAGAACTTGGGAATATCCCAGGTGGCCAAGCTCTTCACCAACGATCGAGTGTCCCGGGAGGTCATGGGGAGGTTTCATGGCCATAGGAAAATGCGGCTAGCCCTTTATCGCTGGATGGTTTATTTTATGGACAATCCTATTTATATTGTGTTATTATAAGAACATATTATCCCAGTTGTGGATAATATTTCCATTATTAGATGGTGTACTGTACCAATAGGATTTTCCATTATAAACCATTATAAACCATTATATATATATAAAGTATCTATTTTGTTGATACCCCCATGTATAGATGGATGGTTTGGGGTACCACCATGACTCAGGAAACCTCCAAATGTCTGGAGTCATTAGTTTACGTCAGGATGCCGGGTTGATCCACCCATTTCTGGAAGAAAATCATTTGAGTGTTCCTTTAAGTTGGGTGGTCCCAAGAACCATGGATTTCCATGGTTTCCCTATTCAAAATCTTCAGTTTCTTTGATTTCGCTACCCCCCACAGATTTGTTCAGACACCTCCAGCGGAGGCCTTTACCTTCCTGGCTCCAGAGAACTCTTCGGAGGATGTGGTTGCCAGCTCAGCGACCAGGAAAACGCCAGTTTTTTTGGACGATGTGATGGATATAATTGGTGTATCAAGGGAAAACATGGGAAAATCATGAATTGCTGAACACTGTTGAGAACCCCCAAATGCTCCGTAGATATTCTATCTGTCTTGAACTATTTTGAATTACGTTTCAGAATGCAACCAGGTCCTTTGGATGAGTTTGCTAATTAGCCACAGACATCCTTTTTGACCCATGGTACTGATCCCAAGTGTAGTAAAACTACGAGAGAACAAGGAATGCAACCCTTGAGGATCTCTGGGAACAATGTGAACCTTCACTGGTCAATCCGGCAAAGAGACCCCCGGCAATGGGACGTGAAGTCCTTATTCTTGTTGTCGATTTTGTTGGGATGATTTTCCGATGAAGAAAAAGGGTGTGTGTGTGTTTTTTGTCCATTGTCAGTTTAGAATACCAGAGACCAAAATTCCATCTTTGGCCAGTATAACATATAGATACATATAGATACATGTAGATACATGTAGATACATGTAGATACATGTAGATACATGTAGATACATGTAGATACATATAGATACATGTAGATTAACCCCTCCATTTTTCATGTTTCAACTGCTGCAGCTTTTTTTCGATCCATCCACAGCCCTTTTACCTTCCTTGATGACCTGGGCTCAAGCCGTGTTTCCTAGGCAACCGCTCCTGGGATTCGGCCCTTCACGCGAAAAAAACCCAACTAGATCCGGTAGTGCAGATCGCCCCCGGCCGTGGCCACGTGGCCGGCCGTGGGCCATGTTGATTCCCATGAGCCCCGATGGAAGTCCTGGATTGGTACCTGATGTAGTGAAAACCTTCCATATTTATGGATGGTACATGGTGATCTTTCTCTTGTCCATTCAATCTCTGGGAGAAATTCTAAGTGGAGATGCATTTGCAGGTATCATTTTCGCCATCATGGCAGGGATTGTGATTTATATGATCCATGATGGCTGCAAGAATATGACGATGTATTGCCTCTTCATGCTGGGCATCATGTCCGGCTTCCAATGTTTTTTCGACATCCTGGGCCTACTCTCCGTGCTGGGTGGGAGGGAGACGACCAGCTCAACGGTGGAGGGCACCGATCAGGATGTGACGGTGATCACCAAGATCACAATGCATCCATTCTTTGATAAGAAGATGGATGACCAGTACAACTTGCAGTCTCTGATGATGTTGCTAAGTCCAGGAGTGATGTCGGTGTCCTGTACCATGTGTGACTCGCCTGCAAGTAATTTTGTGGGTCAAGAAAAACCTGACATTGGCTATGCAAGGCATGTTTGTCGGCTTTCCGAGCAGCCTGCCGCTGCCACTGTTCTCAAGATGTTTTGCCAACTTTTTTTGGCGAGCCCCGAAATCTACACCTTTGAGTGCCCTCCATTTTTGGGATCCCTGCACCTACATGACCCACAATGTGTTGTTTTCCTTGAGGCTATTTATCGTACAATGCATTCTCAGATTCGCTCTTCGAGCTTGATGATGAAGCAGACCCAATCTATTCCAGAGGCTTTGCCACAGGTGTGGATGGGATGGATGGGATGGATGGGATGTGAGTTTAGTATGTTACGTGCTCAAGTGGCAGAATAGTGATAATGACATATTGGGCTTTGTCTGAAAATATGGTAGTCCATTCCATCCATTGGTTTATTTGTTTATTTTTACATATTTTTACCATTAAAGATAGCCATCCATTTGGGGCTTAAATCATGTTAAATTTTTCTGGAGCCACGGTTGTTGAACGGTTGTTGATGCAGCCATGTATGCGTAATTCGTTATTTTTAATATGCAATATAGATAGTGTATGATAGTGTTTTTTTTTGTATATACGTATGTATAATTATGTGTAATTATAATATACAGATAGTATCTGTATGTCATAGATGTACATATAACATACCTATATATGCATCCTTGATGCACTATAGACTCTTTGCCACTTGTGACAGAGCTTGACGATCCGCCACCCGGGCTGTGTGCCAGCACCGCCAGCGGCCCACAGGACAACCTCCCTCGTCGTACGGTGTGACTTCCTCTCCAAGGATCCAGAGGGCCCCATGTCTCGAGGGCGACGCGAACGACACATGATATCACATGATACATCCAATTTGAGGTAGCCTGGGGTAACACAGATGTGGAAAACTCCATGCTTTACAGGAAAATGGTCTACTTAAATAGTGGCCTCTCCACTGAGTTTATTTCGGAGGCTAACATGTCCCAGGAATCTGCCGTTGGGCGTTGGGAGTTCCCATCCCTCTGCAGGAGAACTCCACCTGTCACTAGAGCATTTGAGGCGCGGCAGATCAGATCCAAGCTGGTAGGGGTCTTATATGGTTGGGTAGCCGGCACGTAAGCTCTCATGAACCTGCTTCCGTCAATTACCCATAATTACCCTATCTAGCAGAATTGTATACTCTACACGTAGTATACATATAGATCCACACATACATGTATGATATATGCACATAATACATAATATGTATAATATATGTATAATAACATAATACATAATACATCATATGTAAAGTCAATACAATCTGATGCATCAAGTTGTGAGGGATTTTTAGATCCAGACATCCACCAGCGGCCAGGGTGCTGGACATCGGCTTTCAGGCTGAGAAGAACTGAGCATTCATAAGGGGAAACAAAAGGTCCGTCCAGGGGGCTTGAAAGGGCTTGGAGGATATGACAATATATGACATATCTTAATATCATCTCTTAATTTTCATGGAGGCTATGATATATCTGTGCAGCATTATATTTTTTTTTGATCCCGGAGGACGTCATTATCTTCGTACATGAATCAGCTGTGGGGCTGGGAAGATATAGATGAATTCTGATGACAATATATGACAATTATCATGGACTGCGATGGGTTGCTGTGATAGTCCCAAGCATCGGGAACATCTCTGGAACTTGGTCGAATCCACCTGAACTGAGATCATCATGGACGGAGAGACGGTGGGTCGATGGATCTTGGAAGTGGGAAATCGCCTCTTCGAAGAGGCGCCGAGGGAACGGAGGGAACGGAGGGAATGCGCGACTGGGCGACCGCGCGCCGGAGGATTCCGGAAGTGGAAAGGCGAAACACAAATACATGGTACTTTACAATATATATGATTATAATATCATATAGATAACATATATTGTAATATATATATATATACACATATATATATGATGTATTTTATGTACATAATCACCTGGGTTCCCGCCTTGACTCGAATTTGATGCTGAAACATGCTGAAGCCACTACAATGCTTGAAGCCAAGAAGTATTGCAAGATGCGGTGGTCAAGAGAGATATTCGATTTGAATCAAGATGTTTTGGTGAAATGGTTTGTCAGAGATTTGGAAAGGCAGAACTCCAAGCTGAAAACACATTTCGCATAATTTTCCCATGATTTTATCCCAGTGGATTTGCTGTTCATTTTCCACGGAGCAGCGTTGGTGCCAGGGGTCGCTTCCTGGTTTACCTTCATGGGAACAAGAGGAGTCTCCAGAACTCAGGGCGTCCTTGAAAGCCTGGTGTGGAAGCCAAAAAACCGAGGGACCGGGAGACCTCAAGTTTTTCGGAGATGTGAAGATACCGTTTCAATAGGATTGAGGGAACATGATGAGTAAGTAGTGGATAGAAAATGGGTACCCTGCGAATAGACAAATCTATATGAACATATAGAAAACTGATGTAATCCGCACCTTTCGAGCCGACTATCACCAGCTACATACGCGGACTGGCGCTATACCGGTACTCACTCCTCCCCTAAGGCTCCTACAAATCAGGATGTCTACATCAGGATCGATTACAGATCATTCCAAACTCATAATCCCCAATAGTTTGGGTAGAATCCGGGTAGAACCCCCAAACATCATTATACAATCATCAAAATCCCCTTTCTAGTTTGGGTCAAAAAAAAAATTGTTTTTTTTCATCCTATTATATCAGTATAAAAACTTATAAATCATCAAATGTCATCCAACAGTAGCTGCAGTACCCCAGACTCCATCCAGGGAAGATGCCTGTTCTGTTGCCATGGGCCCCATCTTTGCCGAGCTCGTAGAGACGGCTTTCAAGTGAAGACCCCAGGGAAGTTGACAGCTGGTGGTGAGAATACGGCAGGTTTTTCGAATGATGTCAAGATGTCCATGTCAATGGTTCGAGATGTAAGATATATATATATATATATTCGAAGGAAGTTTAGAAGTGAAACTTCCGACAATATGGACAGTTGAAAAGCAGAGGTGAGAAGAGTCAGAAGAGACAAGATCAGAAGAAAGAAGATGCAGATGCGCGAAAAGGTAGGAAAGTCGCGAAACACTGTGTTTTTCCAATGATTTGGGGCTCCGGAGGGTTGAAAAGTAGGCTCGCTAAAGCGGCGGGTGCGGAGCCAGCTGGCCAGATGAGAGATGAAAAATTGCACGCCGTTGTGGCGCGAAGCACATTTCGAAGTGAAAAGGTACAAAACACCTCAGCGTCGGACCACTTTTGGAAGTTGAGATGTCAAAAAAGTGCACGCTGTTGTGGCGCGAAGCACATTTCCAAGTCAAAATGTACAAAACACCTCAGCGTCGGACCACTTTTGGAAGTTGAGATGTCGAAAAAGTGCACGCCGTTGTGGCGCGAAGCACATTTCCAAGTGAAAATGTACAAAACACACCAGGTCCGGACCACTTTTGGAAGTTGCGATGTCGAAAAAGTGCACGCCGTTGTGGCGCGAAGCACATTTCCAAGTCAAAATGTACAAAACACACCATGCTCGGACCACTTTTGGAAGTTCAGATGTCGAAAAAGTGCACGCCGTTGTGGCGCGAAGCACATTTCCAAGTCAAAATGTACAAAACACACCAGGGTCGGACCACTTTTGGAAGTTGCGATGTCGAAAAAGTGCACGCCGTTGTGGCGCGAAGCACATTTCCAAGTCAAAAGTGTTAAAAACTGACGGTCTCGGACCACTTTTGGAGGTTCAGATGTCGAAAAAGTGTCAAAAAGGTGCACGCCGTTGTGGCACGAAGCACATTTCGAAGTCAAAAGTGTAAAAAACTGCGGGTTTTGAGCCTTTTTTGACGTGAAGATGTCGAAAAAGTAGACACTGATTAACTTAACTAACTTGACTAACTTAACTAACTTCACTAACTTAATTACACTAACTTCGACGACAACAACAACACCACCAACCACAACAACTACAACTACAACAACTACAACTACAACTACAACTACAACTACAACTACACAACAACTACAACTACAACTAGAACTACAACTACAACAACTACAACAACAACAACAGCAGCAACAACAACAACAGCAACAACAACAACAACTACTACAACTACAACTACAACTACAACTACAACTACAACTACAACTACAACTACAACTACAACTACACAACAACTACAACTAGAACTACAACTACAACAACTACAACAACTACAGCTACAACAACAGCAACAGCAACAACAACAACAACTACAACAACAGCAACAACTACAACTACAACTACAACAACTACAACAACAACAACTACTACTGCTGCTACTACTACTACTACACTACACAACAACTACAACCACACAACAACTACAGCTACAACAACAACAACAACAACAACAACTACAACTGCAACTGCAACTGCAACTACAACTACTACAACTACAACTACAACTACAAAACAACTACAGCTACAACTATATGACTGCAACTACACTACACTAATTACATTACACCACAACTACAACTCCACTACGCTACAACTACAACTACAGTTGCAGTACATCACACTACATCCAGCAGTTGTGGGTGAGGTGGCCACTGCAACCATTGCAACCACTCCAGCAAACACAACTCCAACCACCTTTCGGTCAATCAGTGGATTCGCTCTGCCATCCGTGATTCACAACAACCAACGTCTCCTATAGGTTTCCTATTCTGAAACTTCCGCCACCGCCTTGTGCGGTACTACTGGTATCGAAGGAAGTTTAGAAGTCAAACTTCCGACAATACAGACAGATGAAAAGCAGAGCAGGGAAGAGAAGAGAAAGATCAGAAGAAAGAAGAGTAGAAGAGAAAGAGTCAGAAGAAAGCAGATGCAGATGCGCGAAAAGGTAGGAAAGTCGCGAAACACTCTGTTTTTCCAATGATTTGGGGCTCTGGGGGGTCGAAAAGTAGGCTCGCCAGATGAGACATGAAAAAGTGCACGCCGTTGTGGCGCGAAGCACATTTCCAAGTCAAAATGGACAAAACACTAGAGGATCGGACCACTTTTGGAAGTTGAGATGTCGAAAAAGTGCACGCCGTTGTGGCGCGAAGCACATTTCCAAGTCAAAATGTACAAAACACACCAGGTTCGGACACTTTTGGAAGTTGAGATGTCGAAAAAGTGCACGCCGTTGTGGCGCGAAGCACATTTCCAAGTCAAAATGTACAAAACACCTCAGCTTCGGACCACTTTTGGAAGTCGAGATGTTGAAAAAGTGCACGCCGTTGTGGCGCGAAGCACATTTCCAAGTCAAAATGTACAAAGCACACCATGCTCGGACCACTTTTGGAGGTTCAGATGTCGAAAAAGTGCACGCCGTTGTGGCGCGAAGCACATTTCCAAGTCAGAATGTACAAAACACCACATGTTCGCGCCACTTTTGGAGGTTCGGATGTTGAAAAAGTGTACGCTGTTGTGGCGCGAAGCACATTTGGAAGTCAAAATGTTAAAAACACCAGGGGTTCGGACCACTTTTGGAGGTTCAGATGTCGCTTCGCTTCACTACACTACACTACATTACATTACACTACACCCCACTACACTACGCTCCACTACACTACACTACATTACACAACACTACAACTACAACTACACAACTACACTCCACTACACTCCACTACACTAAATTCCCACTACACTACATTACACTACACTGCGCTACCTTCCACTACACTTCACTACATTACACTACACTCCACTACACTACAACTACAACTACAACTACACAACTACACTCCACTACAATACACTCCACTACACTAAATTACACGACACTACACTACATTACACTACACTACACTCCACTACACTACACTACATTACACTACACTACCTTCCAGTACACTTCACTACATTACACTACACTACACTCCACTACACTACAACTACAACTACAACTACACAACTACACTCCACTACACTCCACTACACGAAATTACACTACACTACACTACACTACATTACACTACACTACACTACATGCCACTACACTCCACTACACTACATTACACTACACTACATTACACTGAATGACACTGCACCACAGATAGACAGGTAGACAGATAGACAGATAGATAGACAGACAGGTAGACAGCTAGACAGATAGACAGATGAAAGAGAGAGAGAGAGAGATAGATAGATAGATAGGTAGGTAGGTAGGTAGGTAGATAGGTAGATAGGTACATAGGTAGATAGGTAGATAGGTAGATAGGTAGATAGGTAGATAGGTATAATGAGATGAAAGAGAGAAAGAGAGAGATAGATAGATCGATAGATAGATAGATAGATAGAAGATAGGCTGGTAGGTAAGTAGATAGTCAGAGAAAGAGAGAGAAAGAGAGGAGACCTCAAGCACCTTTCGGTCCATCAGTGGATTCGCTCTGCCATCCCTGATTCACAGCAGCCAATCTCTCCTATAGGTTTTCTATTTTTGAAACTTCCGCCACCGCCTTGTGCGGTACTACTGGTACATAATGATCAAACTCGACTGCAGATTTTGGCAATTTTTATGTATGCACCAACCAATTTTGGTACCCAATTTGACCCACAACCATGTATAAACGCGAAGGAATGGGGAGTTGTTGAAAACATCATGAAGCAAACATCTCGGGCACATGCACCGCCTGGAAATCATTTTAGCAGTGCATTGTTGGCACACCAAGCTGTGAGCTCGACACTTGAAAGTCAGCCATGCCTAAGGCAAGCAGAAGCTGGCTTCTATCAACTGGGAAGGCATGGTTTTGAACTGAAACTGCATAGTGTTAAAATTGATGAATTGCAGATGTTCTTCAAGCAGTGCTCTTGCAGATGCTAGCATTTGCATTGCATTTTTTCGGGTCAGCAATGGCGAGAAACACTCTACGAGACAGATGACACACACACACACACACGTTCTGAGTGTTGCGGTGGCTTGTAAAAGCCGTTTTTGGCACAGAGCATCAATCTCAGCCTGCTAGTGTTAAGACAACAAAGAATCTGTGACTAGCACAGCACAGACATTCACAGCAATGGAATTGTCAGACAAGTTGGCAGAAATGTGGTTGCTTCTGTTTCTTCCAGTCATGTGCTTTCATTTAGCCAGTCTGGTTCTTTCACTTAGTACTTAGCAACCAGTTCTGCACGTTCTTCCTGGTAATCAGCGTGGTGAACATTGGATTGTCAATCCTTCTTGCCTTGATTGCTGAATGGTTCGCTCCTGTTATGACGTGTTGGGATTAGAGCGGAATGCAAGCCTGGAGGACATCAAAGTGGCCTTTAAAAGGCGCGCTTTGCAAGTTCACCCAGATAAAGGTGGCAGTAAGGAAGCATTTCATTCAGTTTACCAAGCCTTTGAGATTTTAGCTGACTCAGAAGCACGCAAGAAACACGACCATTCTCTTGCAACTTGGAAAGCCAAAGTAGCACTGCAGCCAAGAAATCGAAAAAGAAAGAACAAGGCCGCCGCATCCGCAAGCAACGCAGGCGCATTTACGGCTTCAGATCTTCCCAAGCAACCCACAAGGGCGACTCGGCCAGACAGGCAGACAAGGCTGTTGGAAAGGCTCCATAGATGCTTACAACACTTGCCGCGAGATGTGCGGCATGATGTGATCAAGCAGGATTTCAGTGAAAAGCAGCGGCTGATTCTGGAGAAATGGATGGTAGACAAATCAGCAGAGGCACCTGCCCCAAGTCCATCACATGATTCAAAGCAATCTCTTTGTGAACCAAACCCCTATGCTGCAGTTCTATCATCCAGCGGTACAGTCCTCAATCGCCCCAAGATTGGCAAGGAGCCATCCAGAAAAAGCCTTTTCCAACGCAAGGCAGGTGGCAAGAAAACAGACTGCAACAAACGGAAAAGAAGCCTGTGTGGCTCTGTCCGCAAAACCGGAGGATCGAATTCCAATTGCTACGTGGCTATGATTTTCTTTGATGGAATCGGTTTGATCACTGGAAAGAGTGACTTGCCAACAGCTCTTGAATTTGTGGTTATTTTGACAGCTGTCAAGCAGAAGATGCTGGCTCCTCAAACGGGCAGCTGCTTTCAGCAAAGCTTGCAAGATGCGCTCGTGTATTCGTCTAGAGAACAGGGCAGAGATTGTGCAGACCTCAACTTGCGCTTTTGCGCTGCCCTAAAGTCTGCTTCCCTCCTTGGGCCAGGCAACAGGTTGCAGTCGCCAGTTGTTTACAGCATTGAAGACCTGGCAAAGCTGCGCATATGTATAAATCCTTTCCGCGAATATTCTAAGAATGTGAGTTCCAGACTATTTTGGTGGTACAGTCCCGAACACATGCAAGATGCTTGGAATCGACTTCAAACGGCAGTAAGTGATGCGTGGACAACAGCAGGAGCTGACAGCACGCAGGCGCTGCGCCGAATCCGTGCTTGGCATGATGCGAGCAAATCCACACGTGACCGGCACTTGCGGTTTTGGGAGAGGTACCACATGGCACTGCAGGACAAGATCAAGCAGCGCCCACAGAAGCTGCGACCCGATTATGTTCCTCGGCAGGACTGCAACGACCCTGTGCATGCAGTGAAGAAGCTTCTAGTGACATGGGGGCTCCTGCTGGAAAAGAAGGCACAACGGGCGCAGAAAGAGTGGCGCAAAGCTTTTCGACAAAGGGCGAAAGTTCGAAAAGATCGACTGGCAGAGTTGAAGCGAAAGCGCGAGCACTGAGAACACGCTTCAGCTAGAAAATCAAGTTGCACAAGTTGCTGTCCAACACGTTGACCTGCATCACTGATGAGAGATGAGGATGTGTAAGTGGATGAAGATGTTGATCTTGGGCCGATGTTGTTGATGCCGTTGCTGTGGACGCCGTTGTTGGTGATGATGTCGTTGATGCGGATGCTGTTGATGCTCTTGTTGTTGATGATGTCGATGATGTATGATGATGTATGATGATGTATGATGATGTATGATGATGTATGATGATGTATGATGATGTATGATGATGTATGATGATGTATGATGATGTATGATGATGTATGATGATGTATGATGATGTATGATGATGTATGATGATGTATGATGTATCACAATGTAGATTATGTTGACCATGATGGCAATGATAATGACGACGACAATGACAACGATGGCGATGACTTTGTTGTTGATGATGATGTTGTTGATGTTTTGTCGATTGATGATAATGATTATGATGATGACGATGTTGATTGTGATGATGATGATGATAACGATGATGATGATGATGTCGATAATGTTGATGATGTTGATGATGATGTGACAACGATGACAACAACAATGACAACGACGATGACAGTGACGATGATCGCTGCTCTTCTTTTGGTACACATTTGAACACCAGGTTTCAAGATTGCTCATTTTTAAATAGAATCTACATATATATATATATACATATATATATCTATCTACTACATATTATGATATTATATATATATATATGTATATACATATATACGTAAATATCTTATATATTCTGATGAAGAAATTTAGACTCGACAGTGTCGTGGATCTCCACGTTTTGTTGCGACCGCACGTCTGCAGAGTTTTGGGACGTGAAACCTGGCAAAACTACATTTACTGTAGGTGTCACAATTGAACTTATATGAACTTCTGATATTCTAGCAATGGCCCCACTGTGATGGGCCCCAAGCATCCCAACCAAAAAACAGATAGTGGTTTTTTTTAGTGTTTCCTTCATCTATTGACCCAATATCGATTTACCGTATGGCCAGAAATGCAGCGCAGGCTATGTGTGTGTGGGATAAAATGAAAAATGAAATGAAGCATAGTCATATGCAGTTGTCGCCTCAAACTTGGTTTGATTGCAAGCAGCACATCAGTGCTACGTTTGACAGTAGGGGTCGCCTGCTGCCTTAACGGTGTGGTAACATGGTGCGCTCTTTCTACGATGTGCTGCAGGTGGAAAGATGTGCTACGTTAGATGAGATCAAGCTGGCCTTTAAAAAGCGGGCGTTGCATGTTCATCCAGACAAAGGAGGGAGCAAAGAGGCCTTCCATTTGGTGTACCATGCATTTGAGACCTTGGCTGACCCAGAGGCGCGGAGAAAATACGACTGCCGCGCTGCGACTGGGAGCCAGGCCGCATGTCACACGTCCAGTGGACACCAAAACAAAGCAGCTAAGAGGAGCCAACCATCCGACACAACCAAAGCACCAAAGGCAAAATTATGTGAGTTCCAGCAGGCCAAGCTTCTGAGTCGAATTCACGATTTGTTGAGAGACTTGCCCCGAGATGTCCGAAATGCTGTGATCAAGCAAAATTTTTCACCAAAACAGCGACTGATTCTGGAGAAGTGGATGGTGGATACAAAGGACCCATCAACTGAATCAGCACCTCAGCGGCCAAGAGCTACTGAAGACATGGTTTCAAAGGGGGATCCGCTGACGGCATCACTGGCCTTGTCATTGGTAGGTATCTCCAACCTCCGGCCAAAGGTGTCCAAAATGGCTCTTGCCAGGAAGAAATCCAAAAGAAACAAGACATTGCCAAAAAAGAAGAGGCATCGCAGGACTGGTTGCATCCAAGAATCAGTTTCATTTGGACGGTGCGTTGGCTACCTGACTAAGATTATCTTTGACGGAATGGACATCCGCACTGGGCAATGCTCCGACTTGCAGACTGCCGTTGATTGGGTGGTAATTCTAACATCTGTGAAACAGAAGATGCAAGACCCCACAACAAGCAGCTCCTGCTTTGAGGAACGGTTGCGTGGTGCACTGATGGAGTCCACGGCAGAGCATGGTAGAGATGTCGCAGCACTCAACCTTCGCTTCGCTGTTCATCAATCAGCTGGTTTTTTTCTCGGACCGCACAACTTTGTACGGTCCCCAACTGTTCACACCATTGAAGATCTAGGAAAGCTGCGCAGCTTCTTGGATCCTTTTCGCCAATATTCCAGGCTGATTGGTGGAGCTAGCATGTTCTGGTGGTACAGTCCGGAGCACCTGCAAGATGCATGGCAAAATTTTCAAATGGCAGTACAAGGCGCATGGGCAGCAGCAGGCGTCGACAGCACTGAGGTCCTGCGCCGATTCTGTGCTCGCTATGATGGAACCAGTTCTAGCCGCGGCAGGCACTTGCGGAATTGGGAGAGAGAGCACATGGCACTGCAGGACAAGTTGAAGCATCGGCCAAAGAAGTTACGATACAATTACATTCCTCCCAATCAAAGGCGGTCTTGTGATTCCGGTGACCCCGTGCATGCAGTGAAGAAGCCTCTTGTGACATGGAAGCTCCTGCTGGAAAAGAAGGCACAACGGGCGGAGAAAGAGCGACGCAAAGCCGTACGCAAGCAGATCAAAGCCCGTCAGGAGCGACTTTCGGAGCTAAAGCGGATGCGGGACAGGGGCGAAAAGGTTTTTTCGCAACATCAGGCTGCTTTCCAGGAATCTAGGAAGTTTGACCTCACAGGCTCGAAATGGCGTAGTAATGATAGTAGTATGATAGTAGTTGTAGATGCATATATCAGGATGCTCAACATGATCTCAACATGTTTACATGCTAGTGAGCTTCCATTGCCGCATTCCTTCTACCCACTGTGTCTGCAGATGCTAGGCTGGCACCTCGTTTGGCCGCTCTACGATGGCGCGGATGGGTTGATAGCGGTGCACTAAACGGGCCAACTTGGCACAAAGGGGTGCTTTGACTTTTGCATCATCCCTGAATCACAACCGTCAACATGGGAGAAAACCAGACATGGGAGGAAACCAGACAAGTTGGAACAGCGACGAGATGGAGTGTTTTCTGGGGTCAGTGTGGCTTCCAATGCTTCCAACATCTTCCAACATTCAGCCACAAAGACAAAATTGACACCTGCGCCTCGGTCACCGCAGGTGCAGCTGTATGGCATGGGTCCGTTTCCGAACGCGAGCCGTCATGGAGGAGCGCCGAAAACAGGGACGGCATGTCATTTGGAGGAAGGCAAAAGTAGGGGGCCAACGCATGGAACCTTGCTTCAATTATCTTCAATTTTGAATTTGAAGACCCCCCAAAGCTGTTTGGCTGCTGATTTCCAGTCTTTTGAAAGTGATGATCAGGGTCCTTGCAAACGACTTAAGCCTGCAATCAGCATGCGCCTGTGGGTACGTTTCGTGAGTGTCAACATGCCAAAAAACATGTATTTTAACTAGTAGATTCAGTATGCTTTAGTATCATTTGATAGTCCAACACAGTAATTTTTAAGACAGACAGTATAATATAGTACATTATAATACATTATAGTACTAAATGGACCATATTAAACATTATTATAACATTATTAAATCTAAATCATAATCATCCAATATCAACATTTGATCTGGACATCCTGCAGCACGCCTCAGGCATCCTCTGGAGGCGGGATCCCAGGGTCCCAGCGACGTAAATTTTGGGTTCCAAGATCGTTCCAGCCAAGTATATTAAACACCATTAAAGCAGACAAAATGTAGAAACATGGCGTTTGAGATTTTTTCTGGTTCCATTGGTTCCAACATGTTCCAACCAGTAACTTCTAGATCATCTAAGATCCATCTTCCAGATATGAAGACAACATGGTTACCATCCACTTCTTCCATGGGTGGCTGATCCGAGCCCATTTTATGGCAATTTCACTCGAAATATCACTACGTACGTTACGTTAAACATCGTTAAACCATGTTAAACCACTGGATGGTAACCATGGTTTAGCTATATTTTCACTATATTTTTGGAGAAACCAGAACCCATATGGGTCAAAATTATCAATCCCACCAACACAGAAGATATTCTATGGCTCCCTTGGTTTCTCAATGAGCAGACGCACACCTATATTGGGCAATCCCACAAAATGCAGTTGTAGATTCACAGGGGAATTTTATGAGAACGTAGGGGATCAACCATCCAAGTCCACTCCAAGGCGGCAACTGCAGTATTCCCAACGCCAAAGCCTCTCATGATGCCTGTGAACAGGCACGGGCAGTCACTTCTGAGCGATTTAGCCGAGGTATGATGCGGTGTTCCATTTCGGGCCCAGGTTTTTGAACAATGGACAAATTTACTCATAGACTTTCATATTTTTTCCATAGACTAGCATGGAATATCAGGACGCCCCATCCTGGATGATATCCATTTTTCGTCCTTTTCTACAGCGCTTCCTGAGCTCCGAGGCAAAACGCTTCATCTTCAAAGCCCTGGACAGTGTGGTGTCGGAGCCGGGAGAAGTCAAGATGGGTGGGGGGCTGGAGGGCTTAAGGATGACTTTTACGCCCCAAAAATGCTGCCGGTTTCATGGCAAGAAATTGCCAACAACATGGGCTGGGGGGTGAAGGATGTGAATCAGACCCACATGGTGAAGCTCGGCTCGTGACAGCATTTAAAAAAAAAACTTTTTCGAAGAACCAGATGTCTTCAGGATGTTCTCCAGGTGACAGATGGTGACAGTTAGCTGGTTTCCTCAGCAGCATGAGCCGGGTCGAAAACTTTGCAGAAAGTGGTGGTCAGATGGAATAGATGTTTGATGATGTTTGTGTCATTCAGGAGCCCAGAGTTCGGGTTCTTTTTGACTACGACCTGGTGGGTGAAGGAGTTCAGTGCTCAGAAGTGGCAACAAGAGTGGAGCTGAACTTTCGTACTCACAGAAGACAGTGCTTGGAATGTACCCTCTGGTAAACTAACATAGCTATGGAAAATCACTGGTTTTAATGGGAAAATCCACTATAAATGGCCATGTTCAATAGCTTTTTGTTAACGTTTACCAGAGGGTAAGAGACATCCACATCCCAGCCTGAGGCCCAGCCTGTCATAAGCAGATAGAAAGTGGCACCCGAGGTTTGGAGCGGAGGTGGTAAAGAACCTCTGCCAACAGAGAGCGAAGATGAGTGGTTGGGAGACTCAGACCGGAGACGAGTGATGTGGCATGTTGTACCGTGTTGTACCACGATGTCATACGATGTCGGTATTTTTCATCCCTGCATTTCTCTTAGGATCATTTAAAATCATTGAAATCTTCTGGGCCTTCCATGGCCCTTTCTGGATTCTATCTCCACTTTTGGGATCGGCGTAGCCGATGCCATCGATGCTTACATTCCTGCAGCTTTCCAATCCATGGGTACCCCATTCATGAATATTCATCATCCATGTTATTTTCAACATGATTTTCGGATATTTTCGGATACTTTCCATGATTTATGCACCATCCATTTACCCTCTGGTAATTTAACGTAGCTATTGAAAATTGCCATAGAAATAGTGAGTTTTCCCATTAAAAATTGTGATTTTCCATAGTTTTTTGCATGTTTACCAGAGGGTATGCACCATCCATTTATGGCACCCCCTGGCCCCGCTGGAAACCTCCAAGGCATCGCAGGTCCTGTGAGTTTGACCTCTGCCGCATCGCTCATCAGGTGCCGTGCCGTTGGGGGATCCCCATGGATGATGGGGATGAATGGGGTGAAATAGGTGTCACTTTCTGAAACGGGATATATATATATTATATATATATATATACCCTCCAGATCCCTCCAGTAAATTAACATAGACCCTGGCAGACAGGGGTTGAAAGACTAATTTCCACTAAAAATTGGCTGTTTTCAGGGTCTATGTTAATTTACCAGAGGGTAATATATCCGAAAATGAGATATAATTCACTGACAATTTCTTGATGCTCAGCTTCGCTTTTGAGCTGCAGTTGTCAATTGATCCTTCCAATTTGATCCAATTCAGGATAATTTGGGTTTGTTTGAACATGGTGTACCTTCATGCTATCTACTGCAATGCTTGATCATCATGTTCGACATTTTTTCCTCATTAGACTAAATTCACCGCAGCTTCGGATAGTTTGATATCCACTATTTTTGAACAAACCCATGGCTCTTGTCAATGCAATGGCAATACCGTTGTTGCTTCATTTCCCTTCAAATATTGTCATCAAACACATCTCATCAAAAATCCACTTATGCAACACTAGCTGGCACTAGTTCCCTCTATTTCAGATCCTCATCAAATATCACCATTTTATGGAATTTCAGGTGACAACCCACCATGAATTGTTGGTTCTTGTCCCAGTTTTTCGTGATGAAAAATCATTCTATTTGGACCAAACCAAATATCATGTTGGTGATATAAGATGATATAAGAATCTACAAGAGATATTGACGATATTGTATCCGGTTGCATCATCCATAAAATGGTTTCATCAATCCCCATACAATTAAAATTATTAAATCTATTAAAATATGGGGATATCTAAAAGTAAATGGGATAAATAGGATACATAGAATATCAGTTTTGATATACCATACATAAATGGTATAAAACGATTAAATTGATATCTAAATCTATAAGATATCCCATCCATCCATCATCGCAGGTGGAGCGAGCACCCCCAGAGGATGTGAATAGCACCATCCCAAGGCTCTTGGTGATGCAGCCCTATGGTGCCCCAGGGAATGATCGTAATTTTAGCATGATTTTTAATGGTTACCCTCTGGTTATGTCAAAATAGCTATTGAAAATGGTGATTTACAGTGGATTTTCCCATGAAAAATGGTGATTTTCCATAGTTATGTTAGTTTACCAGAGGGTAACAGTGATTAATGATTGGCTAATGATTGGTTAATAATGGTTGATAGTGATTAATGGTTAATGGTGATTAATGATGGGTTAATGATTGGTTAGTAATGATGGATCGTGATTAATATGATTTCAGCAATGTGTTTTCGAACATTTCTTAAAGTATTGATGTTGAGAATGTGAACTTTGAGTTCAGAATTCCCAATCTGGTTTCTCCAGAAGCTTTCGTTTCACATTTAGAACCGGGAATTTGGGCATGCTGTGCTCATGCCCTCGAGCAGCTCCAGGTACTCCGCACAAGCGCTTGCGGTTACCAGAGGTGTCGCTTGTGGAGCTGATCCAGTTGAGTTGATGGAAAGGAAAATCACCATAGACTTGGCATTTTTGGACATCATCGAAGCCAATGGACCATCTATACCATAGCAAACGCTTAGTCATTACATATATTACATGTGGTTGATCATATATCAGATATATCAGATATACATATATTACATGTTATTACCAGAGAGTAGTGAGTAACTCTTCTGATGACGTCCTTCTTAAACAAAGATTGTGTCAGGTGGCGCGAATGATCCTCGAGCGGCACAACTGGTTCACCCAGGTGGAGAATATGCCACTGTTGAACCTGTGCTCCAAATCTGCCATCGTTGGGTGCTGACCTCGGAACCAAACGATTCGTTGTGCCGGGAGATGGGAACAGATGGGAACAGGAAATCACATAGAAACGGTCAAGGTCAAGACAGACTCACCATTACCCTCTGGTAAACTAACAAAAAGCTATTGAAAATGGCCATTTATAGTGGATTTACCCATGAAAAATGGTGATTTTCCATAGTTAGGTTAGTTTACCAGAGGGTACTGACCCATGCTTGAGGCCAATTCTGCATCTTGAAGTGCCTCCGCCGACGGAGACTCAGAATTTCTGCAAGCTTTCTCCCAAGCTTTTGCATCTGTTCACTTACTTTTCGTGGACAATAATGGCTGGGTACCAGCAACAGCGACATACCCTCTGGCGCGACAGCGCCAGCGACATACTGGTGAGGCCTGACTTTGATTTGGATGATCCTGAGGCGCACCAAGTCTTCCAATGCAGCGATATGTAATGTTTCTGGTTTTTCAGATTTATATAGTTAGTGCTTGGATGAGGGAAATGGCGAAGATGGAAGTATTATATACACTATTATATGATCTATTATTATACTATTATATGATCTATTATAGTATTGTATTACTAATATATTACTATTATGTACTATGCAAATGTATTATGTACACGAGATAGCAAAAACAATGGACCATCATCCTGATCAGCTGCTATTCTTCCCCTCATTCCCCAGGTAAAAACCCATGGGTTTTACGACGGTGACCGTAATTCCTGAGGTGCGAAGCAAGGTTGAACGAGGTGAAGACCTGGGAAAGGCGAATCAGGAGGAGTGATCGATGATGCGAAAAGTGGGGATCAGGTCAGGGTCAAAATTTCGATGAATTCGTCGATGTTTAGTACTAACATGTACTACCCATCAAATCATGAACGGGGTACCCAATTTGGACCCATAGTGGCTGTGGGTTGGACGGACCTTTGAGAAACTCTCAAGCAGCGCAGCAGCGCGATGTGTAGTGCGGTGAAGTATGGTGGAGTTTTTCTGATTGAATCTTGGCGGGTTGGCTAGAAACAGACACATCATATCACTTAAGGGAACATCAGAGAGAATCATATTGAAACATTTGTGACATGAATGCCTGTGACATGAATGCCTGGACAATTGGCCGACTCTTGTATTACGTCGGGCCATGGTTGTTGGGCAGAGAAAGTCCCCATTTGTTGTTCGTCAAATCCATAATCCGGAAACTTACTGCAGTTGATTTTGCATATGAATTCATCAAACAAATATCCTCATTTGTCTTCATATTCTTCTCATTTTTGATTATACATGAAAAATACCCCTATCTCATCCCATTATACTGGTTTTAATGGGATTCCCAGTCTAGATTGTGCTAACTCCCCAATCAATTGGATATTCCCAGTCTAGATTGTGCTAACTCCCCAATCAATTGGATAGTAGAACCCCCTACAATAACCCATCAACCAGGATGGCTTGCCGGGTGCTCTTCACGGATCTGTGGGGCCGGCGGTCACAGAATTTTCGAAGGTGGTGCCGAAATGGATGAACCCCATACAAAATTCGGGCTACTTAGATTAATTTGGATATCGTTTGGGATTCAATATCTCAAAAACATTCAAAAACGATATTATAATGATATATATAGAGACATATTATATCCGTAAATAGGTCTTATGAATGTTTATTATTGTCTGCGCCGTACTTGGGACGCGCTGTTCTCCGCAGTTCGATGACAAAGTTGTTGGGTTGTTGCAATCTGTGATCATTTCTTGCATTTTGGGATTGTTGCAGTCCAGGAGCCCTTTGAAGAAGTACCCTCTGGTAATTTAACATAGCTATTGAAAATGGTGATTTATAGTGGATTTTCCCATTGAAAATGGTGATTTTCCATAGCTATATGTTAAATTACCAGAGGGTATGAAGAATGCATCTTTCACCAGGATGACAATTTTGGCGAGACCGCACTTCGATCTTCCGAGGCTCCTGTATGCAGCTTTGGCTTTCGAGGACGGAGTCGGAGGGGATGAACACCGGAGAAATCTTGGGTACCGGATGATGTACCGCATCTGCAGGAAGAAATTGTCAATGCCGGTGCCTCAAAAGTTCGGTACCAACGACTTGTTGGAATCCCATTCAATCCTTTCATTTCTTCGCCTAAAACGAGATGGGTCAAACAAAAGGATTGTCGTTGAACGTCAACGGAGTCCAAAATTTTTTGTCCGATCATGAACAACCTACTGCTTCCTCCTTGGAACAGCACCTTTGGGACGTCAACCCAGCGCACGTTGCTATAGGATTGTAGTAGGCGATAGTAGGCGGCTTCTGCCTGTCTCAGACGTGTTTTTTAGGTTCACTTCCATCCTGGCTCACTGGTGCTGGAGGGTTTGATGGAGGCCAGGTTCGATACCATGATTTGGGCTTGTCTGAAAAATTCGGGGAACACCCGGAATTCCAATGGGTTATTAGCGGGTATGCCCCATTTTCAGACAAACCCGTTCGTTTATACTAGAGGTTTCCTAAAATGGGGTACCCCAAAATAAACCATTCAACATGTACACGCTACTAATATTCCATGATATGGGGATGGGTGAATATGCGTCATACTTTCTAATACCATTTGTTCGGTGTTTTCCAGCCATTCCAACTCTCATGTGACCACCAGAGTACCCCGCGACACTGCCCCCGGCTGCAGATGTTCCTCCACTATGGCCCCAAGCTGCGGACCATCAGCCTTCAGGGCAATGCTGGCTTCATCACTGAGGCGTGGATACCTCATTGAATGGCAATTTCAAGGGGGAACATGATGATAAACCATGGTTTGAACTAAAAAACAACAAACATTGGGGCAGCCTATTTTCAAAGAAATCCATACACATCCAACATCATCCCAAGCATGACTTTAGGGTCCATTGCAATTCCAGGAAACCCATGATTTATGAGGACGTAAGTCTCTTGAGGGGTGGGGCCTACTGTACTTGCATGCCCAGAGATTTGCCGATGAGAAAAAACATGGCTATCTTTCACCATCCAAAATCTAAGAAGTCACACATTTGGCCAAGAAGTCGTGTTTCTTCTGGACAATAATAAATAATCCCGTAATTCACCATAAATAGGTGCTATAAACCATGCCCAAATGGGTTATAAACCATGCCCAAATGGGTGGTTTATGGCATTGTTTTACCCACATTATTATGGATTTACATTGAAGAACTCTTCGATATGCCAGGCCAGAACGTCCAGAGTGAGTTCTCACAAGCCTGGAATTTGAATGTTGTAAGCCATTGTAAACCCAACGAAAGCCGTAATTTTTTTCGATCCCATCTGTTTTCAAGGGAGCTTCTGGGCTGAAATCTTCCCAAGTTCCTCCCTGGTATCCATGACCAACGACCTTGTCCCTGGCGCAGGATTCGCTGTCCTTGCTCACTCTAGCCGGACACCAAGCTGATCAGCTGCTGAAAAACTGGAAGGGCACGTCCTGCTCATCAAATCGCATAGCTTGAATACGTTCAAAGCATAGGAAATTGATGGATGTTCCTTGCCTCTTCTAGTTCCGACACACATCACAAACATCACGCCTTACTCAGTGCAACATCATTTTCAAAGCCAGAGATGTTGCCATGGCCCAACGTCTAAAACTTGTGCTATGAGGCCGGCGACACGGTTAAAACCCTTGACCTGGAGAACTGTGATCTGGATCCCAGTTTTCTGGAGGCCTGGTTGTTCGGGGCTTGATCTGGGGTGGAATATTTGGAGTTGATATCTTAAAGTTGAGACAAGCCGTGGCCGGCTTGAAACTTGAGAATCCCATTGAATCATTCTTTAAGACTCATCCGGCCGTTGATCAGTGCAACTGCTAAAATCAGATTTTCTGATGGGTGGATGTTTGGGGCCAGGGCATCCTGAACACGGTGAAGAGTTTGCGAGCCCTTCAAGTTCTGGAGCTCGCAGGCAACTGGAACTGGCTCCTTTTCAATGATAAATTATGATCAATTCATCTATAGAATCAATATAGATTTCCCATGCCACAGTTGTCCGCAATCCCCCAAAACAGGTGTCACAGTTTCGACTCTTCTAACCTTCCAATGCCCTTGAAGTGAACGAAGTGCTTTGAAACTGCAGTCAGCTTCAAACAATTCATTCCTGCACAGCTATCTCCCAAAGACATAGATATTTCTGGCAATCCAACTTGTTCCAGGGGTTGATCAATGGCCCACGTTTCTGAATGTTTCCCTACATATTTCGAGCTCCAAACGTCTACAATAGCGGTCATTAATTCGAGATGTTCCGAACAAAAAACCTGCCGGGCGATCCATACATGTTTTTCAACCATGGGACGGGGACGGCACTTATGGATCCCTATGGATCCCTATGGTATCTGGTAATCAGAATCCAATCCCCCAAAGAAACCATAGAGTGGATGACTTGCTGTATTTACTGTGAACGGGGGGATTATTCGTATCCATCATTATTGTATATCAATATCCCATTGTAATGAGCTTTTGCAATTGATCTGGGTTCTCTGGAAATGGATTCTTGGGTCTTTCCAAATATTATATATATGGTGGAATTGAATTGCATTATAGGTACCTTGTTATTTCCCCCATGAGGTAACCAATTGGTTGATTAAATGGGTATCATCTTACCATTGGTTATTTAATGTATGTGCATTATTATTTTTACTCTTAGGCAACCAACTGGTAGATTAAATTGGTATCATCCCAGTATTGATTACGTTTTTTTTTTCTATCATATTCTTTGGACAAACAGAGGTCCACTACCATTTCCCTATAGGGTACCCGACCAATTGCTGGATTAAAATGGAATGGGTATCATCCCTTTATAGGGTATGGACTATATCTATTTGTTTCAACCACGCTCATGTTTCTTCTAGGGTGGTGCCCCCATATACCTTTTGGTATAAAACCACCACTATTATATCCCTGACGACCACTCTTTATTCAAGTACTAAATTTCCCCATTATTTCTACGTCAACATCATATATCCTTTAAATGCAATGTCCAATTATGGATTTTGCCGAACTCAGGGTGCAGAAATCTGCACTTTGACTTAGGCATTTTTTTTTGACGATATCCTAGGTGCTTTGTGGGGTATTGCCTTATTAGGGAATACAGAGGTTGTACCCTGGGATTTAGGAAAAACAAAATGGCGATGTCAGGGTGCAGAAATTTGCATGTGGACTTAGGAAACAGCCTTAATATTATATTCTACCATGATTTTTCCCGCAATGGATTCGGGGTCCTTCATTTTGAGATTTAGGCAACAAAATATTTTTTTGGCCGATCTTTTGGCTCGGGGGACCCCAAATCCATCGCAACCTCAAATCCGTCGCATAACAGTATTTTATTATATATATTTTTTTCTAAGTACTCCACCAAAAAAATATCTGAATACGATCGAATTGGTGATCGTTTGTTCTGACTGGTACTTCCACGAGTAGAAGGGTAAATGGATGGGGAGGCAAATTATCAATCCCGTTCTTGGCATGACTACCGAATGGCGGATAAGAATTAATAACATTGAAACATCCAAGGGGCACTAACCCAATACGATTTTTCCTTTGGGATAAATTTCATGCACTAGTATATACCAAGGCTACCTACCTTGATAGATAAGATTCGATAGACAAAGAAATAAATGTTGGAAAACATATATCACACAATCTGGGGTAGAACTAAATCACCAAGGACCCTAGAATCAAACTCCAAAGGCCCCTTATCGGCTATATGTTTTTTCTGATCCCATTCATGTAGTTGATCCATGTTGATCCCATACATATATGGCAGTGTGTCAAAACCTTGTACCCCTGGTGAACATCAAAATAGCTGGTAAATGGATGTTCATCCCCCTAAAAATGGTATTAATAGGTATTGATCCATACCCATATACGTATATATATACCCGGCTACCCTCAACTTAGCTGACTTCGCGGGGATTGAGAAAACATCTGGTGGAACTGTGCGTGTGTGTGTGCGCACTTTGTGTGGGTTTGTGGGATTAAATTGGAAAAGATTACAACTTATATGATGTTATATGATGTTTTATGATGTTATATGATGTTATATGATGTTATATTCTGCCTAATGATGTTTTTATGATATTATAGGATATGCCTAACACCATCATATATCATTATATGTCATTTATGATCATTATATGTCATTCATAAACATTTATGAGGGCCTTTGGCGAAAGGACCTCTGTATGAAGGCCTTTGGTGAAAGGACCTCAGTATGGAGGCCTTTAGGGTATATATATATAATAGTTGATATATTTGTGGTATATCTGGTGCCAGTCGCTGGTGCCAGGGAACAAGTTGGATGGTCCCACAGCACTCCACATGGTGGCTGCCTTATGCGACAACCGCATTGACCTCGACATCCTGCGTCGCTCGGCCTTGGCAGCGGGACGGTAGAGTCAATGGTTAACCACTGGTTAACCACTGGTTAATGTATGTTAATGTATGTTAATGTATGTTAATGTGCATTTAAGGACCCCTTTAAGGAATTTTCGGAAACTACACATGACATTAAAAATTACTGTAGTTATAGCACTTAGAATCATTCAGAATCAACGGTGCCATCTTCTCCTGGCAGGTTTGGATGGAAATCCCTTGGGCACTCCTGAGGCGCACTTGGCCCTGGTGGTTGAAATTAACTTTTCGGTGGGGATGACTGAATCATTCTTAATTAGCTATATAATAATATGATATAGTATAATAATAATATTATAATCCTGGTATTATGTATATATATATATATATGTATACGTATTTATTTTGCATTCTCATAAGGTCTCGGCCCCGCTATTTCCGGAGATGTTGAGATGAGTTGCTTCCAAGCAGTTCCGTGAGGTCTTCAAGAACGAGGTGGCCACCCTATTGGCCACGCGTGGGGAATCCGTGGTGGCTGGTGGTGATTTGGTGCTCCATGTGGGTCAGAGCCTCAGGTCGCTGAGGTCCTGGGCTTCAGCGGCGAAACATGTGGCTTTTCAACGTTTTCAGCGGCCAAAAAATACAGATTGATGATTACCCTCTGGTAATTTAACATAGCTATTGAAAATGGCCATAGAAATAGTGGATTTTCCCATTGAAAATGGTGATTTTCCATAGTTATGTTAGTTTACCAGAGGGTAAAAATGATGAATGAGATTATGATCATCCATGAACTGGGAATCCCCATGAATCCCCATGACTAAAAAACGAAGCCTACTTTGGTGGAGTTTCTCTTCACCTGGTGGTTTTTCCCATCGTTTCTTCCGACAGGTGATGATGCCGTGCGCTGGTGCGCGGCACCAAAGGAAGGAAGTCTGGCGTGGCGCTTGCGCGAAGATGGCGGGGATGTGGTGCGCACCACATCTTTGAAGGACCTTGGGGTTTTAGTCTCTGGTAAACTAACATAGCGAATTGGAAAATCTCCATTTTAAAGAGGTAAATCAACTATACGTACGATGGCCATTTTCAATAGCTATGTTAAATTACCAGAGTTTTTTTTTATGACTGACCAAGCAGTATATCATATAATGGGATAATATAATGTGGGATAATAATGGGATAGAATTAATGTGATATAGTCAATATATGGGGAATATTATAATTTAAGCATTATAATTTATGTGGGGATATAATGTATGTGGTCAATTTGGATAGTCCGGACTGTCATGATATTTAAGGGGATTCCACCAGCTATTTGGGGATTTTTTTGCCATGAAGGACCTGAGGTTTAAACATGTCAACATGTTTTACCCTCTGGTAAATAAACATAGACCCTGAAAATAACCAATTTTTAATGGAAACTAATCTTCCAAGTCCTATTTGCCAGGGTCTATGTTAATTTACCAGAGGGTAACCAGTTTTCATATTTTCCCTGGTACTCGTACATTGGTGAGATATAATCAATGGGAGATCTCCAGGACCCTAAAATGGAGGTGTACCATATAAGGCCATATTTTGGGTGTATATTCCCTTACACAGGCCTTATATATGGTAGGTACCTCCATTTTAGGATCCTGAAATGGCCATTGATATAACCTCGGGTAATCAAACGTGGCAATGAACAATGGCGTATTATTTATAGGTCATTTTCCCTGCGCTGCTGCACCGTGCATCGCAGCGGACCCAATCATGGGATGATTTTTTCAGCAGAAGCCACAGGATTTTCTACGTTGTTCAGCATTCAAAAATACCCGTGTTGGGTTTTCCATGGTTTTCCTACATTTGTTGATATGTGCAATGGTTCAAGATGGATTATAGACACCTTATAGGTCATCTTGGGTGGTCATCAATTTGCCAATCCATTACCATGGAACATCATGGAACTCCAGGATTCCCAGAAAATATGAACATGGACCCTAAATGGTGGTGGGATGACCATAGCCAGGAGATGGATCGGATGGTGGCCCAGGTTGAGGTGCGCAAAAAAAACCGGCCAAGTTGGGGCGTTGGGGCTGGAGTTGTCTCAGAATCTATGAGGAAATAGTCAAAAATAAAAGAGATGAACCTGGTTTAAAGTTGTCCTTCGAGAAAATCCCTTGCAAAGTTTGGAAGTAACCCCTACCATTATTCTAATATTATCTAATATTAGTGTTCTATATATTATCCGTCTATTTACATGTACGACTGGCATGTTAATGTTAAAACATGGTAATGATCTCTTTTCTTGGGGATGCCATGAACCAAGCCCATTTCCGGGAAGTCATTGGGGATGTTTCATGTTTTGTGTCTTTTACAGCTTGGTGGAGTTTCCAACATTACATCATATAATATAATACAGATTAATATAGTGCATTGCCAGCCCTTGTTTGGATTAATATTAGGTTAATCTCTGTATTATACCGTTATCAATATTATATAATTATTATTCCAACTGTAGTTCCTTGTTTGTTTTGTATCCACCAGCCCTCAGCCTGCCAGAACCAGCTGCAGAAGTGGGAGGTGGCGGATCCCCGGGCGGCCAAGAGCGCCGGTGGCCGCGACTGGCTGCGGAGGAAGCGCACGCACAACGCCGGGGTCTGGGCCTCGCCCGGGCTGCGCTTCTACCGGAAACAGCGGGCGTGGTTGGCCAGTCAGAAGGACTAGCTGGAGCAGCTGGTGGCCATGGAAGTGGAAAAGCCCTTCATTTCACAAGGTCAGGGCAGGTCGTGAAGGTGATGCCATGTGATTGTTATGTAATTGTTCAAAAAGCGGGCATACTGACTACCATGACCTATGCATGGGGTGCCCCGAAGCATAGAACAGTGGTTCCTTTTCCACATCCAACTGTGTACAAATGCAGGCATGACAAAGGCATGCTTTTTCAATCTCCCTCAAAGTTGTCCTGTTGCCAAGCAACAGGAAGGGAATCATTCGAATCAGTCAAAACATTTGGCTTTGCCAGCAGAGCTTTCGTAGGCAGGTTTGCGAATCAGCCAGGTCGCTTGAGTATGCTTGCAGGGAGTGGTCACATCACCCATTTCATGGGCTGACTTTGAAGGAATGACATCAGGCTTTGACACGTGTCAATCACCGCTATTCGCCGCTGCGACTTTCACAGCCTCAGCAGGGGTTGTTGTGGCGCAACTCACAACGTTCTATCCCGTGGCTCGCCGCTGCGCTTGGCTTCACGTCGGATGAGCCCAGATCTGTCTATGTTTGGCTCATCCTGACAGATCCAATTCCGCCTGACTTCAAAGGCGTGATGTGATGGTGATGTGATACCTGTGATACCATGGAAAATTCCATGATACCATGGAATTTTCCCATATATTTTCCCTGGCATTTTGGGCTCAAGCAGCGAGGCTCAAACAGGTTTCAGCCACGATTTCTGTGCTCACCCCGCGTCCAGGCGATTTGACATTTATGCGATTTATGTTGATTTATTCATATTATTTATGATATGGATATATTGACATTATCTGAGATTATCTGGTTAGATAGTGTTAGAATGTGTTAGATATTGATTGGAACATATTGGAACCATTCAGACCAAGCATTCAGGCTGGTAGATGGTGGGTAAATGGTTGTCCTTGACGTTCAGGTGGATCGATTCAGGATTCAGTGAACCTAGAGGGTGTAGACTCATTTAAGTTCATTTTAAAATTGCGCAGAAGGTATGAAGATAGTCGCATCTGGAACTTCCAATGACCTCTTTGACTGCTGCATGCCCACTCCTTGAGTTAGCTAGCCCTCCATAGAATCAACTACAGGCAAGAGTATATCACCAAGGAATTGTTCCCAGCTGAATGAGATCACTTAGTGCGACCTTACTTTGAGCTTGGCTGTCACAGTGCAGGCACCATGGCCCTCCGCGGTGCTTTGCAGCTCTCACGCTTGCGTATGATGAAGGCAGATCTTCACAGTCACTGTAGGACGTCTTTGAACTAACGGGTGTGTCTGAAAGTGGGGTATGTGGGTATACTCCCCCCAAATGGCCTACCAGTGAAATGATGATGGATTAATGATTAATGCTGTTTTGAGGTACCCGAATGTCATTTCGACACACACACACACACATTTTGGAGCATCAACCAGTGTCTCAAGATGGGGAACCAAAAAAATTGCCATGGCAAAATGTCGTTTTATTCTCCCAGCGAAAACAAAAAACACCCCATACATCTTGAGAAAACAATTTTTGAGACAAACCAATCGTTTATACATTATATACTATATTCATCTATATTCTATCATTTATGCATGACATATTATATACATATACATATACATATACATATACATATACATATACATATAAATATACACATACATATACATATAAATATACACATACATATACATATACATATACATATGCCTATATTCAAGGGTTATGTGTATACATTTACATAATATGTGCTATGTATTAATGAGGTTGTATTATATGACCATCATGTTATGATGGGTATTCGTAAATATAGTAATATATGAAACTACATACTTTGTATGACATTATATGCTTCAACATGGACAATGATATATATATAATATATAATATATAATATATAATATATAATATATAATATATAATATATAATATATAATATATAATATATAATATATATGATATATGATATATGATATATAATATATAATATATAATATATAACATTACATTACATTACATTACGAGACATTACATTATATTATATTTTATGTTTATACTTATATTTGCATTTGTGTTTATATTTATATTTATATTTATGGGTAATTTTTATATGTATGATTATATTTATATTTCTATTTCTATTTATATTTGTGTTTATTTTATATTTTTGTTAATATTTATATTTATGTTGATATTTATTCTTATATTATACAGTACTATATTATATTATATTATATTATATTATATTGTATTATATTATATTATATCATATCATATTATATTACATTATATTACATATTTATAATTATATTTATATTTATGTTTATATTGGTATGTGTATTTATGTTTATATTTATATTGCATATTTACATTTATATTTATATTTATATTTATTATTTATTATTTATATTTATGATTATATTTATATTTGTGAATAATTTATATTATCTTATCTTGTATTATTATATAATTGTTGGATTTTATTCATGACAATATGATGTATTCACTGAGCTTCTCACCCTGTCAGATTGAGCTGCCGGAGTTCTCGAAGAGCCGCTTCGCACGCAGAGCCAACATGATGGACGAGGCATGGCATGAACGCCATGGCCATGGTGGCTACAAACTGATGGCCACCGGTGGTGAAACATTCGGTGACTTCATCCTTGCTCTCCAGTAAACATATACATAAAACTATGGAAATCCATGGATTTTCCCTACAGATGGTGGATTTTCTATCTTAGTTTACTGGAGGGTAAGATGTATGATGAACTTTACACAGATGATTTTCAGGATTCCCCCAAAGTTGGCAACACATTTTTAAAAATGGGGTTTTATGCACGGGAAATCAAAGGGTAGGTCTGAAACCCAGAACTCCTCGGGTGGGACACCTTGCCAGGACCGCGTGAAGTGGTACAACTGGCAACTTGGATCAGATGAGGAATCCATGTAGGAATATGCCCTATCTGGTTAAATATCAATAATATCAATCATGGGAAATTCCAGTTAACCAGTATATGATGATGACCATAGGTACCCATCATGTCACCGTTACCCAATGTTACCTGCTAGATCCTGCTACCATGTGTCACTGGGTATACCGGGTCTCTGGTATGGTCTCCCAGCGTTTTCCCGGAGCGCGCGAGCGCGGTAAGGAACCTGGCCTGCATCGTACTGACCGCGGTGCCATTGACATGGATGTGGACTGTGAACTATCGCACCTGTGAAGAGGCGGACCGCCCAACTGAGTCACATTTATGAGGACCATGGAAAATGATCAATGCCCTGCCAGGTGGAGATGATCTATCGCACCATGGATCCTATGGGAACCCTCAAGTTCAAGTGCCCTGGTCGGATCCATCGGTCCCCAGCGCATGGGATGATGATCCCCAATGACACCATGGTTTTCAGAAACCAAAAAAGTGACAGTTTGAAGATCTTGAAGATTTGGGATGATTTGGGATGATTTGGGGATATGTTCTGCTTTTTTTTTTGGGTTCCCCCTGACATGGTAAGCGGCAACGACAGGACTGCTTTTTCTACAGCTTTTCTGGATCACTGCTGGATTTCATGGTTGAATTTGAATCAGCAGGCAATGCATATGGGCTGAAATTGATCTGTGTCAACGACTTGACAAAGGGTTCTTCAACCCTGGGTGACAGCCTGCTTGGAGGTACGACTTGAAACTCTTTGGATCATAGGCACGAGCGCAGCGAGGGCCAGGGGTTGCGACTTTTCTTTGGCGGGACACATCCATAAGGCCTAATGTGATAAGGATGACCAACTGCATACAAATACAGGATAATCTAACAGTCTTCATTCGCATTCAGAGATAGACTCAAGTGCTTGTCCCAAGAGTAGGGAATCCTTGAGAAAGCAGTTGATTTCCATCCCAAAACAGACTACTGAAGTATACAGGAGTCCCAAATCAGACATTATCAATGTGGCTGCACCAATAACGCAGCATTCAGTGGGCCCATTTCATAAGTGGTCTATCTCCTAGTCATTTAGTAGGAAGCCAATTCATATTGTTATTTTTTTTGGTTTGAGACATTTAACCAAGCTTCATGGCACCACCTGCTCCGGCTGCAGGAGAGAAGTGAGCGATGCGCAGGTAGAGTTCTTTGGTGTGTGCTGTTCCGCGAGTTCAGCCACCACCAAGACGTAAACTAAAGAGTCAGAACATGTCAGAATTTATGATTTCACCAATGTTTCATATATATATATACATATTATATATATAGACATATTATATATATAGAGATAAATACATGTATATATTATATATACTGATATACGATAATAATATGTGTATATATATATATACACATACCTACACGCATCGGAGATACTTGCTGTTTCTTTCCAATATCCCTTGGCTTGATTCGAACTCGTTCGGCTTCAGTTGAACCTGAGCAAACAACTCCAACAGCTTCAAATCTCTGTCTGATATCTTTTTGAAGCCGCTCACGGGTTCCGTTGGTTGCCGTGAGCTTATCACTTGGACATTTACCCGGCAGGCAACAGGCCTAAGAGGTCCATGGTTGTTTGAAGACTTGCAGCGGACGAATCCGCATTAAACAATGCTGTAGTGTTTGTTAGTCTCTAAGTGTGATCATTGATCATTTACAAATGATGCACCTGGATCACTTGGCTGCGAAGTTACACAAGCAAGTTTCAACCCTGGTACTACCTTCGCTTTGTTTGATCGATCACTGCTGTGGGATTGTCTGCAGAACTACCATATACTACTGTACCTTTCTTCACCAACTATTAAAACAGATAGAACTGATGCATCAATCCTATCACTTTCTGCACATATCGAGTCTTCCAACCTTGAAAAAACACTTACTTGAAGCAGCAGCTCAACCTTGCAACGGAGTCATAGGACCCAAATGAGATTGGAAAGGCCTGTTGCGCATGATGTGTAGCTGGTAACGCAGCGGTGGCGTTTTGGTTGGAGACGGCAACTCTGGAAACCAAAAAAGTTGCTGCTGCCCATCGGTCCCAGTATTGGAAAGAGGGAACATTGACGGGAACCCACCAATTTTTTAAGGTTGAAAACAAGGGTCGCTTGTAATTTATCCTTTACAAACCATACATTTTCCTCGCCTTTGAAGTGTGAAGGGCACAGTATGGGTCTTATCTCTGGTTGTACGGACTAGAATTATACTGTATATAATCTTTTCTTTTCCGGTTCGAACGCTTCAAAGACCATCAGGGTAGTCCTTCCAGTTTTTAATCAGGCTATGCTTTGATCCTTAATGAATCCCAGACTCTGCTGTCCAATCAAGCGAGTTTGATGTAGTCTGGTCCCCTACCGACATTTTTTTTGGGAATCTAAGCAAGACAAAAGGAAGTGACAACAGCAAGAATCAGGGAGCGAACTAATTAAACCAGACAAACTGGGAACGAGATACTGTACCAGGTAATATTGCATTACATTAATACTCAACCTTAGCTGCGAATCTTTGGGTTCCTCTGTATCACAGCTGGTCTGCCTGTTCATGGACACATACACAGATGTTTTTTCTTGTTTCAAAATTTCAAACCGGTATTTTTTTCAGACTATCAATTCAGCAACTATCCAAAGGATTAACAGGATATATTAGAACACCATTAACAGGATACAATAAAACCATATAAGACCCACAAAAACCACTATTTTCCATACCATTCAACCAACTTTTCAAGGCCATGACAGTTTCGGGACCGAAGCAAGGCATCATGCAGCTGGAGGATGCCATGGAAATGGCCACGGCTCTGGCGCAGGACATCTCAACAATCGGCGCCTTTTACCACCAATATCAACCAAATATCCCACACAAATGGCCACGGCTCTGGCGCAGGACATCTCAACAATCGGCGCCTTTTACCACCAATATCAACCAAATATCCCACACATATTTCATCTGGTGTTATGTTATACTTTACGGCTATCAACAATTGTCAATGAACATGATTATTTTATCTGTTTTTTTTTTCAGTTTTTTTCCAGTAAGTTTTAGGTTTGACTTGCGTGTAAACGCAGTCATCTGAACAGACGCCATGGGGACACAGAGATATACATACGATATAATAACTTCAAAATCACTCATTATACATTCATTAATTAACCAATATTCATCCACAACCTCGTTCATCATTCATCATCCTTCATCATCCTTCATCAACGCTGTCGTATACCTTGGCCTCGAGGCCTCGCGTGGGATCGGTTGGAACCAACTCTTGGCCCGAGCTGAAGAGGAGAAGCGCGCAAGCGCGGCGCGCAAGCGCCAGGGGACTGGCTTGGCCTGAAGAATTTGGGTGAAAAACTCCCAATTCCAATGGGTTATCGTTATTGGGTTATCAATGGATTATCATCATCTAATGGATGATCAATCCAATTCCAATGGAAAATTCGATGGATTATCATCATTCTCCCTATGAAAATTGACATTTTAGCTTATATAATACTTATGCCCAAAGTGAGCCCCTCGCCCTTGCAGAGTGCACGCCCATATAGTTGCACCATGGCACACACCATCCCTCCCACTCACATTTGTAAGGAAAGTAGTCTTCCAACCCCCAAAACTGACAGGGTCTACAGTAAGTTAGTTGGGGGGATGGTAAACCCAACAATAATTGGGATCGACAAAGGGATTGCTACTAGGATTTTCGTAGGTAAACTCCAAAATGAACCCAGACATATTGGGGATATAATGGATTTTTGCCAATCATCAACCACAATATATGGCTATGAAATAAAATTATCCTCAAAAACGGGGTGTACCCAATTTTCACAACCTCCATCGCGGATGGTGACTATGATTAGGTTTGCTTCATATTTTCCTTTTCACATTCATGTATTTAATGTGCATTCATACAGCCTTTCATATTGTACGTATGATGGGGGAACGTACTTATACATATAATTTACATATATACATATATTCATAATTATAACACTTAGACAAAAATGACGCCATGTCACTATACACCGCTGGTTCCACCTAGAATTCTACTTCCATTTGGAACTCCGCTGTTGTGGTTCCCTTCATGCACTCCTTACCTTTGCAGATGGCAAGGGGGGCAAAACTGCTATGCATACTGATGTTGGGGGGTGCCAGTTTGCAGACCAGCACAAGGAGACATAAGAAGACTAAGTAGCTTACTCATGTTGTCATTCGGTCGCAAAATCATTAAGTCACCACAGCTGTGGGTGCATGCAAGGGCTCTGACTATATTTACATTCTTTTCTTTCATGTTGGCTTTTCTTAAAGCATACTCTCCATGTGACAAGAATTCAAGCTGCGCCAGTCTGACAAACGTTTCAGAAGTTCCATGAGTCCCACACTGCCAATTCCATTTCGACCAGTGGACCAGGCTGTGAAAAGTTATATATATAGGATCAGCAACTGCAAAGACATCTCGTTTTCGCCTTGAACCACCCAATCCAATCCCCATTCAGTGAAGCCTCATAGGATCTGGTGGAGGATGACGCTCCTCCTGGTGTGGAGAAGGCTGCGATCACTCCGATGGCAGCAGCAGCATTGTGGGAGGAGAAGTTGAACGGCAATGGCAACCCTTGTGACCATGACATTCATATCATAGCTATTCAGATCTTAATTCAATATACTTCGAGTTGTCTCTATAATATCACTTTTCGGCAAGTAGTATCTTTTGCGTCTCAGGTGTCGTTTCATCTGTTTTTTCCCATTGACAACAACCATTCAAAACACCATTTATCTCCATAGATACCCAGAAATGGATACCATCCGGTACTCAAACATGGCTAAATCGGGAAAATCCACCATTTAGTTTCATGATTTTCCCATTTTTTCCCATTAACATCACTATTTAATAGGGGAGCCATGTTTGATTACAAGAGGGCCTCACCATTCTGGGTTTTCCAATAGGAGTCCTGCATGGACCTGGCTCCGACACTGACACCGCATGGTGACCCTAGGGTAGTGGGCCTTTCTTTAAAGGCAGACCATGTAAATATTTGGGAGTAAAAACCACTACTAATATCTACTAATATGATCTTTCAAAAGTGTTCTTTAATTGAAACCAATCCGTTGAATGTATTGTTTGAGTCAGATCCATTCCGGGTTGGCTTTGAATGTGTGGAAGTGTTGGATGGGCAGGAGTTTTGTCACATGCGCAGAATGATATTGGCCTGTCTAGTTTGCCGCTTGCTGCCCAGGGATCAAGAGAAAGATAGGACCAAGAGAAAGATGGCACCAAGAGAGAGAGAGAGAGAGAGAGAGAGAAAGTGACAGTTTTCACCGGAAAAGTGGGGTGTATCTCACCAACAAACAATGCACGATGTATGATATTATTATATATTATTTCACCAATATTCAACACAACTAAAAGAAGACGCTTGATATATACAGCTCTGATCAGCTTTTGCGGCTGATAATACGGAGCGGCTGGGCAGAGCCTCTTCGATGGCTTGGAGCAATGCCGATTGACCTGGAGCTGTTGCAAAAAATTGAAAGGTGCCACTGCTGCCACTGTTTCTGGGGGATGATCATCCATAAATCCCAGCTATTTTGGTGTGAACTACAGGGTGTCTTGAGCCATAGATGAGCTATAGAGATATACTATGATATACTGGTAAGCTGCAAAGCTCCAGTCGCCCCTTGTGCACAGGCAGCGGCAACGCCTCGAGTTCATCTGGCCTTCTTGGAAGCCTCGGAATTTTATGATTCCAATCACTTCCAATCAGCTTTTTGCGGAAAACATGTTGAATCATTTCCACAAACTCTGAGGTGGTTTTTCTTCAGCACATGTGGTTGTTCTAGTGACTGGTTCTTTGTTCTCTGACAGTTGCTGTGTGCAACGCAGCTATGAGTTTCAAATTGAAGCCCAAATGAAGTGTATCAGAGCCCAACACATTCTGAGTCATACTCAATGGCAAGCAGAACTAAAATCAGAACTGGGCCTGAAGACAAGAACATCTCCACCTGATATCCACTGTGTCCAGAAAGTTGGCTGAACTTTGCAGACAAATTTCATTTCACATTCTGGCTCTGTCAGCATGAATTTTCGGCCTGAGATGCGGAAAGTAACCCATGTGCTGCCTCGTGAGGGCACGGGCAAGGCGGCCGGACCTGCCTACGCACCCATGGGGGTTCCGCCAATGGTCCCACCCAAGGCCCATCCTATGCGACCTGGCTGCGCCGGCTTCACACCAGCTGCGCATCCTGTGAGCCATGCCACTCATCCCACTCATGCCAGTCATGCCAGTTCCAGTACTACCCGAATCCCTGGGGCAACAGCTGGCTTCAAACATGACCCACGAGGTCGTAGGACCTCGGGTACAGAAGTGCCAAAGGTACCAGCCGCACCAGGTGCACCAGTGGCACCAGCTGCCTCTGAGCAAAGTGCCGAGCAGCCAGCAGCATCGCCCAGACAAGGCAGCAAAGAGATGCCAAAGCCACGGGCCACACCGGAGACAAAAGCCAGCGACCGCCAGGTCGTGACCAGGAAGAAATGGGAGGCCGTGCGTGAACGGGCGCTGACCCTCCTAGCAGCACCGGCCGCATCACCCAGGAACACTCGCGAAGACGGACCGAAACGACGGCGCCAGGGACGGGGATCTGAGCGCCCCAAAGGGGGTGGGACGGACGCTGAGGCTGTGCGTGATCGGGCCCTGACACTTTTGGCAAGCTCCAACTCAGATAGAATCAAAGAACGTACCAAGACGTTCATCCAGAAACACCATGTGGACATTTCACTGGAGCCCGATGAGCTTCCAGGGATTCCAACTGATGACTGTGACACCAAGCCAGCTGAACCTGACCCGCAGGATGACCTTGATGCCACTCTGGACGCCCCAGCGGCCCCAGCGGCCGCAGCGGCCCCAGAGGCACCAGAGCCAATGCCCAGCATCGAGCGGGAGAGTGACCTGCCGGAGGCGTCGCCAGAGGGCGCCACATTTTCCGAGAAGCCTCCTGTGTCAAAAAAAACCAGTTCCCCAGGCAAGAGCAGTGCACCTTCACCTTTTGCACCACCACCAGGGACACCGTTTGAAACCAGAGATCCAGTGGAAGAAACACAGCTGGCTCAACTGTCAGCAGGCATTTTTTGGATCCTGGGCTGCTTTTTCCAATGCTTGCTACTTGGATTTAAGAGATGTAGATGGTGGATGCTGGAGGTGTTTCAGGAACTTGTTCTTTAGTTAAATGCAATTTCTTGAGGGACTTCTTCGCAGTTATGGTTGTGCATTGATTCTACTCCTAGGGTCTCCTAGGTATTTAAAGTAAGTACAGGCAGTTTCTGACAGACTCATCCCACATGACTTCAAAGAAGTGCCTACTGTATGTTCTTTGGGCGTACCCCTTGGCGCACTTTTTCATACTTTTTCTATATCATTTTTTTGCTTGCTGTTTCTGTATTCCCACTATCGACATTTGATATGTTTATATTGTTGGTTCTATCAATCCCATCAGCAACTGCTTTTCATCATCAGTTGCTTCAGAAAATCAGTCATTTTAATCTCAATCCTGCAACTATATCGTTTCATCATTGATATATAACATAAACCTGCATTAAAAATTGTTTCGAAGTTCCACCACCTTTTCACCATCTAAAAACAAAAAAATGTCGCCAGCACCGTGGCCCAGGTTCTTTTCCCTGCGTTTCTGCGTGTGCTGCGCGAAGAGCTCCGCACTGAATGCGGAGCCCAAGCGCCGTTTCGGTGATGAGGTGCCAGAGGAAGCCGCGGTGCATGCAGAAACCACCGAAGCAGTGAGGCAATCTGGGGGGATGACTCCTTGGGTAATGGGGATGCATGGGGCTCCTTGGTGTGTTTTGGTCCATGAGGAGAATGAGGACATGTAGTACCAGTCATTATTTGGGTCTTTGTGAAATAAGGCAATAAGGTACTCCAAGATCCACAGGTTAATCATCAGTTTCCACAAGTGTCCCTAATACCCATTGGGGGCTTATACCCTATTTTCAGACACATCCAAGACATCTTGGTGTTTTCCCCAAACAGTGTGTCCACACTGAGGGATTCTTACGGTAAGTGTAAAGGCCGGTGCTTGATCACTTTGCATCACACGTCCCTGCGGCTCTAGCCATGGCAACACAACCTGACACAGCGGAGACAGGTGGTCATAGTGCAGCAGCTCGATCCAGTGTCCCTGCGGCTGCGCGTGACACCGCGGAGACAGGTGAGCAGACTTTGTCCGTGTTGCTGTCCAGTGCGGGGGCCACGCTTAGAGCGGACCTCGAGCATCTGGGCTACTGCCAATGAAGCGGCCCTGCGGCTGCGCGGGCAAGAGATATGCTCCATGGTCTATTGATGCTATACAGCCTTACGGAAAGCTTGTAGGAACGCAGGGGGCAACCCCCAGCCGAACAGGCAGCATCTGCGAACAGAGACCCTACGAAGATTGCTGCAAGACAAGCTTGTTGACGCACTGTGTGAGCCAAGTTCGTTGCCGGGAGGTTGCAGCTGATCGGGCGTGCCGCGAAGGGACGGCACAGGCCAGGAGCACATGGATCGCAGCACTCAGAACAGATCTTCGTGCTGCATGCAGATATCTTCAAGAAGTTGCAGCGCAGCACCAGTAGCAGAGGCTTTACAGTAATCGGCCCTGCGGCTGCATGGTGTCCCTGCTGCAGTTTCGCTCTCCGAAGAAGGCGCAAACGTCTCACCAGCGGCAGGTGCATCGGATCTGCAGCAGTGGCGGAGCCATCGAGTGCAGCAGCTGGATCCATCAATGCGCTGTTGCTGGCTCCGACATCGAGCCGCCAGTCACGGTGCTGCACCTTTGCAACCGCGCCTCGCCTGACCAGCAAGGGATGGACGCCGTCCGCAGTCCTCTTCTGCAGTGGGTGGACAATACCTGGCCCGGTCCATGGCTTCCTCAAGATTACCTCGACACCGGGAGCCAGCTTCGGGCGTATGGTGGTCGGGAGCTGGGCGTCATTAAAATTACGCGGCAGCTTCCGAAGGCACACCTGACAATCTCTGTCACGATCGAAGACTGCGTGTTATGCCTTTGCTTTGCCAAGTTGGAGCCACTTAAAGAAACTTTCCAATGTCCACAATGTGGTGGTGTGCGCAATTGCCGTTCTCGGCAAAGCAAGCTGCGCCGCTTCCGATTCTGCTGATGAAGATGTTCAAAAACTTACGTGGACTGCGGTTTCGCGCCACGACCACCGCGTTCGTGCTGATGAAGCGAAGTGAGGACGGTGTTCCGTCCGTGACGAGTTCCACGAATGGCCAAGTAAGCGGACTTTGTGCGTGGTCGCGGCCGTGTTCCTTGGACGCGTCGACTGCAAGCGTCGCTGCCGGCTGCTGTTGCGCGCCAAGGTCGCTGAGTGGATCGGAATCCATCATCTATACATGATGAGCTGCGGTTGCGCGCTCCGTTGTCGATCGTTGCCCTGGCACCGTCATCGCTGACCGCAACCCGCTGTCCACAGTTAAAACAAGTTGTCCGCAGATGTCCGCAGTTGCTGCTGCGTCTGGGGGTAAAGACATGTTGCCATTATGTAAATGTTCTCGAGCGTGTAACTTCAAAGACGGTTGTTCAGCATGTCCCGGTCAGCGACAAACTACAATGGCAGAGACCTTTTCATTTCATATCATCATCCTCACCATCATCATCGACAACATTAAAGTATATTATTCTCTTACTTCCCCCCACACTGTTTGGGGTCTCTTGCCGGAATTTTTTTTCACATATCCCATTCATATCCCACTGATCATCCACTACTGCATGAAATTCCATCAATGTATCCCCATCTCTCAGGTCGCCCATTGGATTTTGGAGCAGCCCGACAGATACCGAGAAGCGCAACTTCGTCAGCGTCGCAGCCATGGGGCCCACGGTGCCCCTGCCCGTGGCCGCGGTGTCCGGCGCCGGCGTCCCGCTGAGGCAACATCGGAAGTTGGGATCTTGAAATTTGAAGAAATTTTGGTGTTTTTTTTGGGGGTCCCCTTAAACCCCCATGAAATCGCCATTAAATCCCCAATGTATTCCCCACATTTATCAGTGCCAGCCAATCTGCCAGGCATGCCCCTCCGCGGGGTCGAGGAGGGCGTCGTGGCAAGGTGCCGACAGTTATTTCTGGGGACGTTGCATGGTGTTGCCCAAGATGGTTTGAAAGGTGGCACAAAGGATAGTCAACAATAGTCAACATACATTTATAATCGTTTTTAAAATATATTGAAATAATTAATTACAATATCATGTTAATTAAATACTACTCGTATGTATTTTATATAATTTTATATACACACAATATTATACATCCGTATTGTATGGATTGTGAGGGAGGGCAGTGTTTGATTTGATTCTGTGTGAATTTTCAGCATTAACCATAAAACAAAACAAAAAGAGTGGGAACATCGATCTCTGGGTCCACAGAAACACATCCGGGAGCCTCAGTTATGGTGGATATGTCAACACAAACATCACCTCAACTCAATGGAGAGATTTTATCCCGCATTTGCATGACTTTGCATGCATTTGCGACATGCACCTTGGGAGTTTTGGTGTGACGACAAAATCAGGCGAAGAACAACGAATTCTACGATGAGTTGGAAAAGTTGGAAGATTTCTTTCGACAAGAGGCTGTTTTCATTGGTGAGGCGGGCATGGATTGTGATGTCGTTGTCAGGGTGCACCAACTGCGACTGAAAAAAACCTCAGGCTGGCAGTGGCAACTGATGTGGTGAGGGCCTTAAGCAGCAACGCGGTAGCTCACCGAGGGTCTGTTTGCAGAATGCCATAGGGGGGACTCTAAAATTTCGGTTTTGACATGTTTTGACTATGATTTTATAATATTTTATATTGTTAGATTTTTTTAGACTCTAGACATTTGACCCCTATTATCCCCTATTCATGGCCAATTATGCTAATTGCAGGTGCTACCGTATGCTACCGTGAGGGCCACTTTGGTATCATCATTGTGATGGCTATTTGGGATGCCCATCTCCAGGGATTTTTTTTCACACCATGGCGCTGTTGAGACATGCTTTGACAGGGTTTTCAATTTGGAAAAATACACCAAAACATTTCATGATATGCACCATATATGCACCATATATATCCATATATCACCTAATGAATCCAGTTTGATATATTTTGTGTTCCTTCCATGTCACATCGATTGCAAAGTCCGGAGTGCTGTCAACCCCATGCATCCCATGCGCCCCACATAATTCTTCGCTTCTTGAAAGGCTTGACCTTGGGGGGTCTACATCACCACATCATGGGACCGATGTGTTTCACTGCCTCGGCTGTGCCAACTCGCAACGGTAGCAAAAAATCAAATGAGCACAAGAGAAGGTGATTCCGTGTGTGGTTTTGATGTTGGTTTGATGTTGGTTTTTGGCAGCCCTGCTCATTCCACATGCTGTCTTTTGTCGACCAAAAGATCCGCTTCCGTGCGCCCGTTTCTGTGCTTCTTTTGTTTGAATCTACATCCGTCAAAAGAAAAGAATTGACATCTGCTCCTGACCGACCATGGTCGCACCTCTTCCAGTTGTCGTGGTTGCTTCGACACGGAGGCGGATGGTTGACCCTGAGGGTTTTCACCCGTCCAACCTGAGTCAGGGGGGAAACCCTGCCCTTCAATGTGCCTGGCTAAACACAGGAGCGCCAACATGGAGGGGAAAAAAAAGATCCTGGCGCCGGCACCCTTCTAACCTTGAAATCCTGGATGAAAAGTGTGATATCGCCTAGCTATACACAGTATACAAATTGCACCATCTGAAATTGATCTGGATTTCTTTTTAAAAAAGGTATACATCATACATCAACTATCATCAACTAACATGACCCAAACACCATATACTTACTGGTATATGGTATGCCGCATATGCCTCATGTTCAAACAGAGCCGAGCCATCTAAAACGACCAGATTCTGACTGGTTCCGCATGGCATATGGCATCTCGCTGGGCCAGGGATGGAGTGCGACCTGCGCTGATTGAAGGTGTGACTTGATGAGTTGGGAAATCATCAGGGGGACATATGAGTGGCTGATAGTGGCTGATAGTGGTTGATAGTGTCTGAATAAAATTGCCAAATAATTAGTTGGGAAATCACTTTATAATCATCCAGTGGCTGATAGTGGCTGCGATCTAGCCCTGTTTGCCTGTTTGATGATACCAACCACATGAACCACCGCCAGCGCACAGGTCTGGTGTCTCCTGCCAAGAAGGACCGGCTTCAAACTGGGGGTGTTTTTTGGGCCATGCTGGGAATGGCTGTGTCTGAAAATGTGGTACACCCCCAAAATGGCATGTGAATAGAGAACATAATTATAAATGATTATAAACCATGATAAACCACTGGGTTTTGGGTAAATTCAGACCAAACAACATGCTTTCAGCTTCAATGCGAATGTCACCGCATCATATTTTGAACATAGGCCAGATGTACAAAGTGCGCTGTAGAAGATGCAGCTTACAGGCCTTTGTCTTGTCACTTGGCAGGAAGCATCTTTTGCGGCCACCACTCCTCCCTCGTCTCAGGAGCGTCTCAGTTCTGTCTGTGGGATGCTGGGGATTGGGGCTGTTCTTGGACTTTCAATATTTCACCACCAGTTGTGACTGAGCACTACCGTTTGCGATTTCCGAAATTAGAGACGCTCAAAGTGTACCTGGTGAACAATCCATCAAAGCAAGAAAAGTCCTCAGCACAATCATCCACAATCCAGCTTTCCGGTTTTCGACCCTTGGGTTACTTTCGTGTGCCCAGTGGAAATCAACCATCGCAATTTGTCGAAGGATCCGAAGGGTTGTGACACCCGAAGCCGCCAGGAGCTGTCTAGCAGCTTTGTGACATCAAGTAGCAGGCGCCCGCAAGGGTCGGTTCCACTGATGGTTGGCAGATGATGATGGATTCTTTTTGGATTCTCTTAAAATCGGCTACCCTTCAGAGCAACCCATGTTCAATGATCAATTCATTTTGCATGATGAAATTGAAATAATGGAATGCTTGTAATATATTACGAAAGCCAGCTGTCAAGCATGGCGAAGTTGGTCATTGCGAACGAAGTGAGAATAGGGGGTCTGGGGGGCGGTCGTCTCCAAACAGACGCATTTGACGCTTTTCCCCACCTAATTAGGGTGGCCACCGTGGTCGATTTTGCGGCTCATGTACCAGGTGGCAATTGGGTGACGGTGGGGTTCGATTCCCCCCTGGTCCGTCCTCTGACGTGCATTTGGGGTGAGTGGAATGGAGGGTAAAAGGATGCAAAAATGGAGTCAAAGCAGAACAGAACAATGGAAAAACGTGGAAAGAGTAATGGAAGAAGAGAGGGAATGGAAGGAAAAAACAAAGGGGACGGATTGAAGTTTTGGGGCGGGGTGTACGATGGGTGGAAAGTTGGAGGGCCAAGAGGGTGGCTTGGGCGGGCTCTTTGGGGCGTGGGCAGGCAATGTGGAGTGAGGCTCTTTTAGGTAGCTGTTGGGAAGCAAAGGAGCCCGCAGGGTGAAGGGTGTAAGGTGTGGGAGTGTAGAGTGTCAAGTGTAAAGTTTAAAGTGTAGAGTGTGGAGTGTAAGTGTAGAGTGTAGAGTGTAGTGTGTAAAGCGTAGAGTGTAGAGTGTAGAGTGTAAAGTGTAGAGTGCAAAGTGTAGAGTATGGGGTGTAAAGTATGGAGTGTGAAGTGTAACGTGTAAGGTATAAAGATTATAAAGTATGGTGTGTAGAGGGAAGAGGGTAAAGTGTCAAGTGGAGTGTGTAAAGTGTAGAGTGCGCGGTGTGGAGTGTAAAGCGTAGAGTGTAAAGTCTAGTGTGTAAAGTGTGGAGTGTGGAGTGTGGAGGCTGGGTTGTAAAGTGTACAGTGTAGAGTGTAAAGTGTGGAGCGTGGAGTGTAAAGTGTGGAAGCCAGGCAAGGTGAAGGTACTTGTCGGAATGAAGTCAGAGCAGAAGATGTGGGGAAAAAGGGAACCATTGGAGGAGAGAAAGCGAATGGGGACAGGGAGTGAAGTGCGAATTGTTATGCAAGTCTTTCAAGTCGTCAAGTGAAACCTCAACGCCATTGCAATCAACTGTTTTGAGTTTACGGCATGATTTACCGTTTTAGACTGTGATGGACTTTTTTGGCTTCACGACGATGGCTCGGTGGACATTTTTCACTTTTTCAGACGCAGCGCCGTATACCATTGTAATACCACACACAAATTGTACCCTTCGGCTTTGTGAAGACCATTCAGATCCTTGGTTTTTCGAAACAGACTCGATGATTCCATATTTGTTGACAACTCAAGAAGTCCAAAAAATGTGGCACGGCAAAGGTACATAGATTAAATTTAAAACCTTTACCCCATTTCAGCCCGACGGTGCCAAGAGGCAATACCAAGAGCTCTGCACCTAGGGTGCAAGCTGTCGATACAACTTTAGCCTTTGAAGTCTCACCCAAGCGCAATGTCTCGCAATGATCTCACGATAGAAATTGTCCACAGATATCATCACGAAACTTCAGCGAACATATAGGGAGCTTGTTGCCATGCGCAGGACATGAGACATGGATAGACATGGTATGCTTGGTACAAGCAGCAAACAGTACTGGCGGTACACATGGTTCGATTGGAAGGAAGAAAGGGCGTGGCTTGGGGATGCCATTTGGAGTGATACTCTTTTAAGTAGCTGCTCCGAAGCAAGGGGGCCCGCTGGGAAGGGGGGGGGCAAGTTGCCGATGGGTGCTGATGCCCGGCGGTAGGACAGGAATATAAAATGTAAAGTGCAACGTGTACGGTATGGAGTGTAGAGTGCAGAGTGTCGAGTGTAAAGTCTAGTGTGTACAGTGTCGAGCGTCGAGTGTGGAGTGTAAAGTGTAGAGTGTAAAGTGCAGTGTGTCAAGTGTACAGTGTGTGGCGTGTCAGGTGTAAAGTGCGTCAAGTGTACAATGTAGAGTGTAACGTGTAGAGGGCGAAATGTGAAGTGAAGGGTGTACAGTGGCAAGTGTAGAGTCTGGAGTGTAGAGTGTAGAGTGTCCAGTGTAGCGTGTCAAATGTAGAGTGTGCAGTGTAAAGTGTGGAGTACAGCGTGTCAAATGTGCAGTGAGGCGTGAGGGCTCTAAAGTGTAGTACAGTCTAGTCTGTCAAGTGTCGACTGTGGACTCTGAAGTGTATATTGTCCAGTCTACACTCTAAAGTGTCGAGTACGGAGCACCCGCCCGCCTTCCCTTCATTTCTCAAACACACCACGGAGCTTCTTTCTCCACAGGCGTCCGCTTCCCCTTCTTCCTTGCCTTCCCTGCCGCCGACGCGTCCTCTCCCCTTCCGGGCTCCTTTGCGCCCCGGCCGCTCTTGAAACGACGCTCTCTTCATCCTTCCCGACCTTTCCCACACTTCTTCCCTCCGCTCCTTCTTCCTACACATTCCTTCCTTCTCTCCAAGGGCTCCCCGCACCCACACCCAACACAGCCTCACCCCGCCGGCCCCTCCGCCCCTCCCCCGATGCCCCCACCAACCCCCCGCCGCACTCCCTCCCATGCTCTCCACTCTCCTGTCCCCGTTCAAACTTGACCCTGGCTTTCGTCCCCTCGTCTCAGGTTTTTCAGAGCAAATTGTTTTGTTTTTTCCTCTTTTGTTTATACGTGTTGCAATTCCATGGAATCTTTTGTATCCGTGTTGGATTTGCGGCGTGCAAATTGTGAGCATTCCAAACAGCTATATACTTGTTGTGGCAACTAACGTTTTCCAGTTTTCGGCGTTG